CTATAAAAAACACATTTCCTGGCACTGTTTCGCTTTAAAACTTAATATGGAGATAGGGGCGGTCGGGTAGCCTAGAGGTTAAAGCGTTCGTTCGTCACGCCTAAGACCCGGGTTCGATTCCCAACATGGGTACAATGTGTGATAAAAATTGGACTAAGCACACAACGTGGGAAGGAACAGGGATTAGTGCTAAAGTGCATTTGTGTGTGTGGTTGACCAATTAAGCGATAATTTCCTGTGAGCGGCAGTGTCAAGCCTAACCCGGGTCCCGGACATAACATCCGTTAAAGCAAGACTGACTGCATGTGGGATAGGGAGATTGCAAGTCGACACAGCCCCATATGGCGAGTCAGAAGCAGATGAAGAGTTGAAAGATATCTTTCGTGATGTACAAACAATTGCCGAATTAAATTAAAAAAACTCCCTGGCCGAACTTTTGGGAAAATTTGATGATAGGAAGGAAGTGATACATGAAGGGAAAAACGAACAGGACGATTCGAAAATGACAACTTATGGAAAGAAAATGAACAACTTAAAACTTCCGTGGCTAGGCTTGAATGTGAGTGAGTTTGATTTTACGCCGCTTTTAGCATTATTCCAGCAATATCACGGCGGGGGACACCAGAAATGGGCTTCACACATTGTACCCATGTAGGGAATCGAACCCGGGTCTTTAACCACTAGGCTACCCGACCGCCCGGCTAGGCTTGAAGCACAGATGAGAAGATCATATATGATAATCTTTGGAATAGATGATGATGCTGCAGAAACAAGGGAAGATAGAAGATAAAATAAGAAATTTTATGAAACATACATTGAAACTAGATAATGTTGATGACATCTATCTGGAAAGGCTTCATAGATTACAAACAAAGACGAGTCCCAGGCCTATCATGGCAAAGTTTTCTTCTTTCAAAGAAAACGTGAAAAAGCAAGCAAGAACTTTGCTGAAATTTAACATGACCTATAGAGTTGGTGATGACTATACAAGAAACATCAGAGAGACGAGGAAACAACTTGGAAGGTATATACAGAACACAGAAATATAGGTGAAGAATACTGCTAACCTCATTGTATCTGATCATGTTTATAAGTATGACACTGTCAATGACAAGACTCATTCGTGTGGGTCAGCGAGAAAGGGAGAGAACTTGAGGACAAACAATGGAACGCCATCACGACGACACAGAATGAAAACACAACCTTTGGAAACGACCGAGGCCAACGAAATACTTCTTTGACCAAGGACAAGTACATATGAATACATACGACGAGACCCGTGAAGATCCGGTGTAGAATCATTCGTGACCAACTCGTGTTATTCCGGGACAAGCCGAATAGCGACTCGTGCCCATCTGGTGGCCATTTTTGTGAACGGGTTCCGTCTTAGCGCAAACGGGCATACCCAAAACAATTGTCAACTCGTTGCGTAATGGTTCACATATATTTCCCCATACATTAGATATATTTCAGATGCAATTTAAAGCACATCGGGACATGCGGAATTATACAGTATGATTGAACAAATTTAACTCTGTCTTGGGTATATTTTTAGATGCAAGACATATGTAAAATAAAAAAAGAAATTCTGAGGGATTATTTGATGAAGAACTTGAAATCATACGCGCATTCTGATTGGTTTGTCGTATTTTCGTACATAACATTCATCGATAGGGGGACGAGTCTTCTTCCAGGTTATGGAAAGGGGCGAGTGGTGACGAATGGGGTAGAATAGGTCTTCAGCAACCCATACTTGCCGTAAAAGGCGACTATGCTTGTCGTAAAAGGCGAATAACGGGATCGGGTGGTCAGGCTCGCTGACTTGGTTGATACATGTCATCGATCCCAATTGCGTGGATCGATGTTCATGTCAATCACTGGATTGTCTGGCCCAGATTCGATTATTTACAGACCGCCGTCATATAGCTGGAATATTGCTGAGTGCGGCGTAAAACAACAAACCAACAACAACAAAACATACAACGAATTAAAAACCGTCTTCACAACACAAGGTTTTTCTGTCCCCTATTATAATATCAATTGACTGTACTCCCAAGAAAAACACAGAACTAAAATCCATCTTAAATAAACATTTCTTTGCTCTGCTCGAGATATGGGCTAAAAATGACACATTCTTAGGATCTATTTCCTGGTTACTCTATATTTCATTGCACCCGAATGAAACTTCATTTGAAAGGTAGATATCGTGGGGGTATCGCTGTTTATATTAAGGATGGCTTATACGAACACTTCAGGAGAATGCATAAGTGTGGGAGGACTGTGTCTTTTTCTATGTGCCAGATCTCTTTGCTAAAACATGTATACTAGGATTTATAGATATATACTCTTCAAAAAATGAAACTTGACATAGATGTAAAAACACTTTTTCCCAAATATCTAAATAATTACATTAAATGAGAACCAAATAAGTCAAACAGAAAGATGATATGTCTATAATTCGCGAAAACACATGCAAAGCACATAAACGTAGCGTTTGTGGATCAATTTTACAGCTTCATCCAAACGCAGCCGCCTGTAAAAAACGTGCTGCACAGGATCCTGCATTTGGGCATGCAGGCCCCCCTGCTGAATGGGTATAAAAATCCACATCAACGGCTGTTCATACAGTCCTTATAACGGCAGTAGAGGCGGTGACAGATTGCCAAGACTGAATGCAGCTCAACGGAACAACGCCATTGGGAGATTACAAGCTTGAGTAACTCAGCAAGGAGTGGCCAGGCACTTTGGCGTATCCAGACAGACAATCTCCGCACTGTGGACCCGATACAACAACACCAACAGAGTTGACGACAGACCAAGGTCCGGAAGGCCAAGGGTGACAACCCAAGCACAAGATCATTACATCCGGCTGCGACACCTCCGAGACCGCACTACCACAGCCACGTCTACAACCACACAGATCCCTGGGGTACGCAGAATATCAGATCAAACGGTACGCAACAGACTGAGGGAGGCTGGACTTTTTGCACGAAGACCTGTTCGACGTCATGTATTGACCCCACGTCAACTGGCGGACCGTCTGCTTTGGTGCCAATAGAGGGTTAGATGGGCACGTGTAAGGTGGAGAAATGTACTGTTTACTGACGAGTCCCGTTTCCTACTCACACGTTCTGATGGGCGCGCACGTGTCTACAGACGTCGGGGTGAATGTTACGCCCCAACTGTGTGCAGCAGGTTGTCCCATTTGGCGGCGAGTGTCATGGTATGGTCCGGAATTCATCAGGGTGGTAGGACGCCTCTCGTGCATGTGGCAGGTGCATTGACAGGTGTGCGTTACAGAGACTTGATCCTACAGCCTTACGTTCTTCCTCACGTCAACGTTTATGGCGGACAGTTCCAGCAGGACAACGCTCGACCGCATATTACACGTGTTTGTCAGGACTTTTTACAGCACAATAACATCCAGACATTTCCTTGGCCAGCCCGGTCACCAGATTTGTCCCCGATTGAGCATCTGTGGGACGAGTTGGATCGACGGGTTCGCAGAAGGAATCCACTGCCCCAAAAACTTCCGGCGCTTCTTGATGCACTTCAGCATGAATGGCAGCACATCCAACAGCATGTTATTGACAACTTGATTGCATCTATGGGTCGTCGGTGTCAAGCGGTGATTGATGCACGTGGAGGGCACAACCGATACTGACATTTTCTGTACCCCGCGACATTAACTGTATCGTGTACGTGTGTCTGTCTAGGTGACACGATTAATGTTTTGAACATTGTGTACATTGATCTTCAAACAGTGTTTCAATTATGGTTTCCGTGTCCTATTTTGAAACAATCGCATTATATCACATTTTGAAAGTCATAGTCAAGTTTCTTTTATTTGAAGAGTATATATACCTCCAAACAGCAACGAAGCAGACTCGGAATATATATATATATTTCCTCCCACATTAAGCTGACACGCCGTGATATAACTGGAATACTGTTAAAAGCGGCGTTAAACCCAACTCACTCACTCAATATGAAACGATCATTGAAAAGGATTATATTGTTTATAGCTATGATCGATCACTGGTAATGAATATGAGTAAAGTTATGGGTTTTTTTAAAATTGAGGGCCTCTATCACAACATGAAAAATGGTATATTAAGGGTGAACGGATTGAAGTGATGTCATACTATAAATATCTTGGTGTGTAACAATATATTTACACAAGCATGTTACATCCACTGAACAGGCAAACAAGGCTCTAAAGTACTCACGGAAATGGAAAAAAAACTGTTTTTTCGATCTCAGATTTTAAATAAATGCAGTTAATATACAAAATATATAAATATTCAAACAACTCAATTAGTACTAATTGGGCATTGGCACAAATACAGCGTATCAAAGGTTTTTATGTCTTTTTACACGTAAAAGTGTGTAAAAATATTAACAAAACAGACTATTGTGAAACTGAGCATAACCAGGTGTTAGTAGATCAAAGTGAATGTCCATGACCTATGACACCTTGACGACAGGTGAAAACAGGTGCTTGAAACCCACGAGTATGTGATTTGTCAGTGGTTAGTGATTTGTGAGTGGCATTGTTGTATAGTGAATCATCGTCAAAATATCAGAACGTAAAAGTAACATATTCCCTTCTCAAACAACAACTTACATGGCATTATTATTTTGTACATAAACAAAGCTGTTATTTTTATTGTTGTTTTGATTACTTTTTTTCCAGGCTAATTTGCATAATGCCTATAGCCTGTTTCTGCCATGTCACTTTGGACTTAGTTTGTTTGTTTTTAATGTTGAAAGTGCCGACAAATTACCTCCTGTAAAGTACATTTTGTATTGAGCACTGAGATAAAACTAGCAAATCCAGACTAGTACTTTTCAAGTTGTTTTGTTATTTCGCATTTACATCTACGTAATGCTTTGTGTCGATTATTAAATCAAGCAAAACAGGGTTTTTTCATTTCCATGAGTACTTTAGTACCTATTCAAAGATTGAAGTTCAAATATCCAGACTAAATGTTCATACATATTTTTAATATTTTATTGTAAAATTTTACCTTTATTGGTATATATGGTGCGGAACTATGGTGTACAGAAGAATATGGTGTAAGAAAAAGCATTAAAATTATACATACTGAATATTGTAAATATACTTCTTCAAATACTGATATATCATGTGAACTGGGTAAATATCCAAAGCATTGCTATTTCATGCTATGTAAATATGATGAATTGGGTTATATAAATTGGTTTCATTTGTAAAATATACATTGTTTAGTTATTGCTTTGGAAATATATGATGCCATCGGGCGGGGACTGTGATGTTTTATTACAAGAGATTTGTTTATGCAAGAATGGTCAGATCGTATATCTAATTCACCAAGGCTATATTTATACCGCATCTACAAATCCCTACTACAACCTGAAAAATATCTATCATCGAATACAAAAATATAAAAATTCTAGTCACCATGTCTTTGCTGACAGTCTATGCAATTTCTGTAAAGAAGACTTAGATGATGAATACCATGCACTAGCTTTATGTCCAGCTTATACTAACTTAAGGTCAAGATCTTTTTGCCCTTGAATAATTATGATATCCTAGCATGCAAAAGTTTGTATTGTTACTCTCAACAGATGACAGCATTTCATTTCAGCTAGCTTGAAAAAAAATGTTTAAACTTAGAAATTCCAAAACCAATGTAAATTGAAGCGTTTTTTCACAATGTATCTAATAGTATCCCAACCCCTGTACTATAGGCCTCATGGCCAGACCATTTTCCAATTCTGTGGATCGATACTCATGCTGGCAATCACTGGGTTGTCTGGTCTAGAATCGATTATTTACAGACCGCCGTCAAATAGCTGGATGTGGCGTTAAACAGCAAATAAACAATAAAAAAATGTTGCAAGAAAGATAGTTCTGACTACTAAAGTTGGCAATGATTTGTTTTTCTGAGAGCCCCTCGTTCTCGGAACAGATGATACTAGGTAGATCTCCATGGTAACTGGAAACAAACATACAGCTTAACTGCCGGGCTAAAGAAAGTCTACACCCAAGTTTGATGGTGACAAAAATGAGACAAACAAGAAATGACTATTCGATGGTGATGCGTTTGAGACGGAGTATCGTCACTGTTCAGCCCAGTTCGTTTTGGTGAGACTTGTCATGTTTTGGTCAAATCTAATGTTCAGTTGTATATTTTCTTTTGCCCATTAGTTTACCTGGAGAGTAGCTCTTGCCACCACATAAAATACCGACGGTTTGTAAATTACCAGAATAAAATTAAACGTCAACCCCAACTTACTAACATAACATGTAAGCGTCTTGATCGTCATAACAACCCTCTTTGTGGACACATTCCTTGTGATTCTACCAAGATGTAAATCCGATCCAAATACCCCGTTCAAATGCCACGCCCTTAAACTATTACAATCGTACATTTCTGTCTGACCATGTCTGTTTTAACATCGCTTAAGACACTCGAATTAATTCCAATCAAGCATCATTTTGTCATGGTTATTTGGGTTTAGCTGTCTGATCTTGTTTGTGAAAATATATCAACCGTTTTCCTTGCTGTTCATATTGTCTTTGTTCTACAGCAAAATATTTTCTTTATTGTGAAGCAGCCTTATATTGCGATTTCTTGTCCTGGGTAGAAGAATGACTACCCGGAACTGTTCTGTACGGAGTACGTTGGAACGAACGGGTTGCTTCGGCCTTTGTTCAGACGAGTGTTGAACTCGTATGGATAAGGAAGTTTGGGCGCCGAAACTGCATCAAGGGCTGCCATCTGCAAAAGAAGGAAATTTCACAGCATCAGAAAGCAGAGTCACGTGACTTTGTGCCATCTTCCAGAGGCAAGAGAGTTAACTGACTATAAAAGTCCAGTTTCCAGCCTTGCCAAACTAGGCTGGTATTATGGAGTTACATTTTGTCCGGACTAACGAGTCTATGCATAGTCCAATCAAAATCGCGCACCGAAATCGAAATCCGGTTCGTAAACTGTCGTGCAGATTTCGATCGATTGCAGGATTTGCAAAGCATGTGCACCGTCAACTCGTTGTCAGCAGATATTATACAAATCTTTTTATGTATTTAATCAAGGTGCTCACGTGATTTGATGCATTTCGCGATGTAAGACCCGTTGTATCACAAAATAGATCTTGATTATCGATCAGATCGTCCTGACTGAGCGCCACCACTTTGTGTGAAGCAAACGCGAGAGGTGGAATCTTATTGGTCCATAGGAGAGGCTTAGAAGGGACATAATTGGCAATAGCCACTGGTGGCGCAACGATCGAGCCCAGTAATTCAAACCTAGTTCGGCAAGGGTGGAAACTGGACTTTTAAAGTCAGTTAACTCCCCTGCCTCGGGAAGATGGGCTTTGTGTATATCAACTTTTCATAGTGTAAAGTGGCGTTAACCCATACTAACTTATTCATTCATATCCCGATGTCATGTCCTGTTGAGAACGACATATTCAAAGGACCATTTCGGATATTACCATTTTGATTAATGGTGTTTGAAATTGCATTTAAATTGATTGTTGATAATAATCACTGGCCGAGCATTGATAAACCACTATCATCCAAAAATAAAAATAGTCATGGAGTCATACTTAAAGGTTAGAAGACTTGAAGTAAGTACGTCGTATTGAATTTTGAATCTCGTAAAGCAAACAAATATTTTAGTAAAATTTGTATAGTTCCCTGTGTTTTTGTTACACATAGCCGGCACTCGAAACGTGATGCTGTGCCTACCTTTATGTGTGATGACAATTTCAAAATTAAGCTCATCATCCAGTGGATAGTCGGCTATTTGAGGCTGAGACAGATAGATATGTACGAATGAATCATAGACGTTTTGGGCTATTATACTTCGTATACATGTCTCTTGAGACAGAAATCGGCTGGTACATGTACGTACGTCCTCGGGTGACAGTTTCCATCCGTTCGCGGCGCCCATGTTGTCGTCCAGCTGGCTCGTCTTGGTTGTCCCTATGAGAACCGACGGCACGATGTCCTTCTGGAGAACCCACCGAAGAGACACTTGGGCAATGGACTTGCCTGGAATTTAACAGATATATCATTACTACATCATCATCATCATCATCATCATAATAATAATAATACCCAAACCCTCTTTTCTGCATTATTTATTTTAATTTGTAAATAATAATGATAATATATAGTACGACGCAGAATATGTATAGGGCGTGATGGAAAATGAGCAATACAAAATTCTTTGGAATGTGCCCGTATACAGCCTCAGATGTATCCAGGCCAACAAACCTGATCTTGTCCTTTTGCCTTAATCCAATGAAATCGATTATATTATTGAATTTTCTGTCCCTTTTGACACCAAAGTGATTGACAAAAATCAGGAAAAACATGGCAAATATGCGGACCTCACTTTCGAAATGTCACGCTTGCATCACAAGTACCAAGTTGTCCGACTCCCCATTGTTCTCGGTGCCTTAGGTTTGGTACCTCCCAATCTGTTGGGGGGCACGGGTGGCCCAGTCGTCTAATGGCGCCGCGATTCGCTGTGCAGAGTTGCGTCCCTTGGGCACGCCAGACACCTATGATTGTGGGTTCGAAATATCCCGGTTCGCCCCAATTATGTTTCTAGGTTTGTCAGCACCATACCCATGCTCGTGGGTTTCACCGAAGTGGTAAAAGTCTGAGACCCGCATCACTTCGGGCTTTCCTCCCACATTAAGCTGACACGCCGCGATATGGCGGCGTTAAACCCAACTCACTCACCCAATCTGTTGACTGACATTGGGAGAGTACCCGGGCTTTCTACCAGGAATACAGCCCTTCTGACAATCTGGGTAATGTAGAAGGCTGCAGTGTTTGGGAGTCTCCACATTCTCCGAAAAGTTCAAGTGCATGAAATATTTAACATGCCATGACATTGACACTAACATGTACTCAACCCTTTCAGGACTCTAAATTCTAGGACAGAATTATTGTCGTGCTAATTGAAGTATGACGATAAAGATCTATGTTCAGTTATAAATGTCGCGTGTGATCACCATGTTTCTTCGCAATGTCCTCCAATGTGTCCAAGGTGTTCCAAATCTGGTCATCCTGGAGAAGAGAGTCCCACGCGGGCCATGCCTGGGCTGCCTGCCCCTTCTCCGCAGCCCAGCCTATTCTGCCTTCCTTGGGACGAGAATCACGCTTGTACTTGCCCGTCAGTAGACCTCTGAAAATAGACATCCAAAAAGACATCACTTTTTTAAACGAACTTTTGAAAGTATTTAACAGAATAACAGTTGATTATATCACATTTATATACAATACCAAAATATGAGGTCTTTGATAGGCATTTATAAGTTGGAAGAACACGAGTACATGACATTTTGTATGGATAGCAGCTTCTTTTATTCTTTGTTACGACGTTGCAGAGCTACGAAAAGTGTCGTGTATTCAATATCAAAGTATGCAAACGAGCTTTGAAAATATTTGATTGTACAGTAGTTATACGAAAATGTTTGAACGAGTTTTCGAACTTATTATGTTGTATTGTATTTATGTTTAATGCCTTAATATTTTTGAAAGTAATTTGAAGTACAACAATAGCACAATATACTATTTGTGTTTTGTATTTGATACCATCAACTTTAAATACAATACCAACATATTTAAAGAACTTTTGAAAAGAAAACACATTTGAAAGTTGTGTATTTTTTGTATTTGATTTAAATACAATACCAAAACATTTAAATATTTTTGATAATTTTTAATAGTATTACATTTATATGTACACAAAGAAAAACGCTAAGCCCACACTAATATATCTCATTATTGTTTGGTCCCAATATTTGTAACAGTCATGAAAGATACAATTACGGCAAGAATTGTTTTCTCGAGATGATGTAATGAGTCATGCTTTACGAAAGCTCACGCGCCATGCATGGTATGTCCGTGCAGCATGCTACCCTCGAGTATCTCTAAAAGCAGTATATCCAAACGTTAAAAACGGCCTACGCCCCCAGGAATATTAAACCTACGGTTGTATACGGCGGGGGCTCGGTGATGGTTTGGGGTGTATCTCTCATGATTGCAGGTTGGATTTGGTCACCATAAGGGTCAACTTAACAGGGGCTTAGTACAACCGGGACGTTTTGAGGCCAGTCGTCGTTCCTCATTTTGACAACCACCCTCTTGCTACTCGACCTCAGTACATGGATGACAATGCCAGGCCTCATCGTTCGCATGTAGTCGTGGATTACATGAGGGCCAGTGCAATAACGGATTGCAATGAGCCAAGATTTAAACCCCCTTGAACATGTATGATATATATACAGGCACGAGATCGTCCTGTACAAGATTTACGCCAATTGGAAGCAGCATTGCTTCAGGAGTGGTTGTTGACCCATCAATAGATCCAACGTCTGACTGGAGCCATGAGACGTAGGGTGGAATGCGTCATCCGGGCACGTGGCCGTTATACCCGCTCCTGATCTGTTTCACGTGTCATGTCAAGTAGAGACTTTAAGGAACATTTTCACATGAAACATCCAACGTAACTCGTTTACTTAATCCTGCAGCTCCATACTTTTTTTGGAGGTATTGTCTAAGGTCAAAAACAGTACCTGTGTTACCATGATGTGTTTGTCAGTAAATTTCAATCACAACTCACCAATAGCTTCTTTATTTGTTGTCAAATGTTTGTTCTATCCGATGACATTGGTATCGCCCAGCTCCTGTGGTCTGTCATCCCATGCCATGATTTTTTGCCATTTGTCATGGTTCAGAAATATGGGTGTGCTTAACTTTTTTCTTTGTGTATATAATACCAAAATAGATCAATGAGGTTTTGAAAATATTTGACAAAATAGCATGTATACATATATACCTAATACCAAAATATTAGCACTAGCATTGTTTTAAATAGACATGAAGACATTCTTGTCAACAATAAGATATTTACAAGTGCGTTCTATTGTATGTCAGCCCGTTTTTAAATGTTTCATTTCTCGTGAACATGATCATAATCAATGGGACTGGCCAACCCAACATTGAGGCGGGGCGGTCGGGTAGCCTAGTGGTTAAAGCGTTCGCTCGTCACGCCGAAGACCCGGGTTCGAATCCCGACGTGGGTACAATGTGTGAAGCCCATTTAAGGTGTCCCCCGCCGTGATCGCTGGAATATTGCTACAAGCGGCGTTAAACCATACTCACTCACTCACCAACATTGAGGCTGGTGTGTAACTCCCATTCTGATTGGTCCTCTAGATCTAGTATCATAGCCAGTGAAAGGCTGGCAATTTGAGATAGCGAGAACCACGGGAAAGGATCCAAGGGTTAGTGTGAGTCCTGACGATACAGATCGAGGGTGTCTATGCGTGTAAGGGGAATGGGATTCTAGGCATTATTGTAGGTTATATACAGAGTTCGGTCATCGTGTCTCCTGAATAATGGGGGCACGGGTGGCCCAGTCGTCTAAGGCGCCGCGATTCGCTGTGCAGAGTTGCGTCCCTTGGACACGCCAGAAACCTATGATTGTGGGTTCGAATCCCGGTTCGCCCCAATTATGTTTCTAGGTTTGTCAGCACCAACCCGTGCTCGTTGGTTTCACCGAAGTGATAAACGTCTGAGACCTGCGTCACTTCGGGCTTTCCTCGCACATTAAGCTGGCACGCCGTGATATAACTGGAATAATGTTAAAAGCGGCGTTAAACCCAACTCACTCACTCACTCACTCACTCACTCCTGAATAATGCGCCGTTCGATCAACTTACGCCTTTAAGGGACTCCATGGTAGAACACCCAAACCGTTGGCCTTACACACTTGGAAAGCCTCGAGCTCTGAATCCCGGCTCACTAGACTGTATTGTTGCTATAGAACACAAATAAATCATTTCATCATATAATGGGTAGGTTTCTCGGCAGGATAAAGCCAACGGATAAAAACGATATCCGTTGGGTCATATGCGGATAGAGATGCAAATATCAAAGGTGAAGTAGGGACTACTTTCAGTGTTTATAAACAAACATGGCGTCGCCCTTGTCATTTGGCATTCGAGTCAGAATTTACCATCGGGAATCTGGATAAACTACTATCATTATCAAAAGAACAGTCTAATATACTTAAATCAGTGTCTAGCTGTGACGTAGCTAAGGCATTTTAGAAGTTTTGGCAACTTTGGAGATATAAATTTCGAAACAATTTTGCGAGGGCACAAGGCCTAGCCAAGCGGGATCAGTAGCCATATCTGTGCTTGTAGACCTCTGCGCCTTGAAACCTTTCCACAAATAAAAATAGTTGAATTTGGCCGAAATATTTTGAATTGTTACCTTGTTTCGTTTTGTCGCTCTGTGTATATCTGATTGCACTTTTTAACATTATTGCAGGACAGGCGACTGTCAACAGCGTCTGAACGTGGCCGTGACGTCTCATAGACTAGGGTAAGAGTAGCTTCCCTTTGACAAAGGGCAGTTACTCTAGCGGACAGACTGATGGATTGCCGCGAAAGGCAAGTAAAAGCTCGGCAAGGCTCGCTACATACAATGTTTATTCCTAATGCCGGATATTTACCATCCCAAAACACACTCGCGTGATAACCTCTATTTATTTTATCAATTTAAACTAGTACATGTTATACTTAAAGGGGGACTCTGTTCCCATGTTCAGTTTAGGTCTCGATGTCTTGGTCTTGAAACTTTGTCATGAGTGTATTTAAAACAAAACTTCTAGTTAGAAGACAAAGTAGGTTTTAAACGTTGATCAAACGTACTGAGACTGCAATTAGCCAGAGGCGAGTGCCCATTAAACAACACCAATTGTATCTTCTTGGAATTAGGGGCGGTCGGGTAGCCTGGTGGTTAAAGCGTTCGCTCGTCACGCCGAAGACCCGGGTTCGATTCCCAACATTGGTACAATGTGTGAAGCCCATTTCTGGTGTACCCCGCCGTGATATTGCTGGAATATTGCTAAAAACGGCGTAAAATCAAACTCACTCACTTACTCATTCTTGGAATTGGTTGGCACGGTTGCCCCTTCGGCTGATCAGTTGTGATCCGGAGGCATGGGTTCAAATCCTAGATTGCAACCAATTATTTTTTTCGGGTTTGTCAACACAGAACCCAAGGTTCACCAAGGTGTAAACGTCACTCTGGAGTTTTCTACAATATTAAACTGACCCAACCAGGGTCAGCGGATCCTGACTCAGCACGGCAAACGAAGGAGCCCCTAACAACAGAGCCAACCATGCCCATTCTATTATAGGAATATTTGATCCAGCACCTCTGTGTATGCCAATGGTGACATGGCACCTGTCTGTGGTGATATGGCACCTACCTGTAAACTGATGAAGGGGCTTGTCCCCATCATCTGGGTGAGGTCGACCAGGCGCTGCATCTGCCAGCCAAGCATGTTGCTGGCCCCAATGTACCGGACCTTGCCACAACGGACCAGGTCGTCTAGCGTCCGCACAGTCTCCTCCACGGGGGTGGCGTCGTCCCAAAGGTGCATCTGCAACGTCACAACTGCAACGTCATAACTACGCCCCAGAAGGTGCACTCTCACGCTTTACATCGCTCGTAATGTTACAGCACAATGACGGGTGCACCGAAAATTATGTTTATGTTCTGTTTATATTTACAGTGCATTTCCAAATACCGTTATGAAGATGTAATTGGCTCCGTATCAAACAATCTTATATCTATTTTTAAATATACATATTTAGATGTTGATGGTTAAGCCCCATATGTCCAGAAAATTCAAAGTTTTCTTTGCTCAAAGGTGTTTCTTGTTTTTTGCTCAAATACACAGGTGCAACTTTAATTATTGCCACGTGTATTTCAACTAATTTCTAGAAATAATTTAAAACATTTAATTTGGTTCGTGGGCTATTGCAATTTCCATTATGTTTAAAATATAGGCATTTAGAGGTACATGGAACTACAACAGTGTCCACACAGCCTCTTTAAAATGCTTTTCTGGGCTATGAATCTGGAAATTGATAATTCATATAGAATCAACTCCGAAGAGAGTTTGTCGGTTGGTTTGTTGTTTAACGCCGCACTCAGCAATATTCCAGCTATATGACGGCGGTCTGTATATAATCAAGTCTGGACCAGACAATGTAGCGATTGATATCATGAGCATCGATCCACGCAATTGGGATAGATGACATGTATGTACCAATTCAGCGAGCCTGACCACCCGATCCCGTTAGTCGCCTTTACGACACGCATAGTCGCCTTTTACGGCAAGCATGGGTTGCTGAACACCTATTCTATCCCGGAATCTTCACGGGTCAACTCCGAAGAGAGTGAGTGTGCGAGTGAGTTAGCATGTATGTATGGTGCTGACAAACCTAGACACAAATCGATTCGAACCAAGTTTCGCACCAACGAGCACAGGTTTTCTGGCATCCCCAAGTGCTGTAAATCAATGCCGCGCTCGGTGCCGTCTCAGACCCCTGGGCCATCCGTAACCTTCACTCTGCGGGAAATTAGTTCGTGACCTTCGCTGCCCGTATAGTGGATTCTCAAAAGCTCAAACGATTTGCTTGAATTTGAATGTCAATAAGAACCAAGATCAAAACAAAAAATTGATTTTCATCTTTGTACACCATTATCCCACACGACAAACTTAAGGAAAACTTAATCGATGGTTGTCATCTGCAGTTCAATGAGAAACCAGTATGTGAATTGTGGGGAATTTTGTGATACGCTTTTAAGGCAACGTTCGTTACAGGCTATGCTCGTGATCCCAATAGGGCTGGGACGGGTAACTCGGGTACTCGGGTCGGGTGGAGCATGTGCAGGACCCGGGTACCCACAGGACTACCCGGTCCCGTGGTTTGTCATGTGATACATTGTTTAATGACAATAACTCACTATAGCTCAGTGGTTACACTACAAGTCGCTTATGCTCTGTCTGACGATGCACGCATTCTTTTTTACTTGCATATGTTTGAGTAAAGATGACGCTTCAGTCAACTTCCGTGTAGGCATGATCAGCTCGTTTGATACATGTATCAAAATAGTTACTGTCTGAGCTGAAACAATAGATTTGGACACGTCACAGCCCTTGTGCCCAATGTGACAAGATTCAGATTGAGGGAGCGACCCTTGAGCGACCCCCCCCCCCCCCCCCCCCCCCCCGGCCTCATTCGTATATAAAAGTGCTAACGCTGCGCTTCTATGTGATGATGTGACCTATGTTAGTTGCAGTGTTTGTAAGTTTGTTAGGTTTGTTAAGCTCACTCTTAATAACTGCTCGATTGGCATTCTATAAGTTGGAGAGTTGATTACAAAACGGACGACTTTATGGATAACAACTTGTGATTTATTACTTGCCCGTGAAGAGATCACCCGTTTAATAAACATATAGCTTTATTACACATTGTGTAATACCAAAACGCGTGCTTATGTACTCTCGGAACACGTTTCACGAACAAATATTGAAAGCTCTCAACATCTCTTGGCTTATTCAACGACATTGCGTGTGGAGTTGATAGATCACTGAGAGGAGCTTATGCACACTCGATGACCCCAGCAACCTTGTTGCTAGGCTGACGTCACATGGCATTGTTTCGCCGATGGATCTTGCATCAAAATTCCACAAATTACGTCATCGGGTATTGTGACGTTATCGAAAACTTTGAGGTGCAAGGCCCGTTCCACAAGGCGATCGTATTGTAGCGCAACGACAGTCGTTGGTCTAAGTTAAAGTATGTGAGATGCGAAAGTCTTAGCCCTACGATAACTTTGTGAATTCTAAAGGTAGACCCGTTGCATGGTATGAAATTCATACGTTTCAACTTTTGACGTGTTTGAAGTATTATTCTGTTAAACTCAATTTGACTATGTCCTGGATCATGTAGGTGTCAGCCAATTCATACTCAACAGTATAATTAAAAAAACGTTATAAATTGCAAGTAATAAATAAAATACTAAACTCGCTCCCGTGTAAAACCAATTTTATGAAACTCGTGAATAGTTGTGGTATCTGACTCGCTTTCGCTCGTCAGATACCACAACTATTCACTCGTTTCATAAAATTGGTATTACACGGGAGCTCGTTTAGTATTCTATATTTATTGCATGTGGAGAAGTTTCGATGTAAAGCCTGGCACCATTATCTAGTTTGATAGCCTCGGCTAACAACTTGGGATGAATGACCCACTACGACGACCTCCTTGTCGCCCATCAAGGCATACAATTTTCAAAATAAGAAACGCACAGGTAGTATGTAGTTCTTTGAACCTGACTACACAAAAAAGTCGGTATTTAAATTGGATATATGTTATTCGAAAATGTTGGTAATAATAATTCATATAGAATCAACTCCGAAGAGAGTTTGTCGGTTGGTTTGTTGTTTAACGCCGCACTCAGTAATATTCCAGCTATATGACGGCGGTCTGTATATAATCAAGTGACCTTATATTCGACAATGCATGTCGATTTGCAATGTCTTAAACGGCATTGTTTTCAGACTTGTTCTAAAATGTCATGGAGGAAAACAGTAAAGATAAATGCACGTGCAAGTTATGTCATTTGTAACTCGTCGTAGTGGCTATAAAAAGGCAAGCATAAGTCAATAACTTTTCAATCAATTGTCAACATTTTTCAAGTTCGAAATTGCCGAGACTCAGTGTTGCCGATCGGAACATCGCCACAGGACGTATCCAAAGAGGGGAATCGCAGTCTTCTGTTGCGTGCACGCCACTGGAACGTCCACCACGGCACCATTTGCCGGCTTTGGGGCCGATACACAGTTCCACTACGGACCGTCCGAGAACCGACCGCAATGCCACAGCAACGGAGACTGCAGGACGCATTCCTGGTTTGAGGAGGAAATCGGACCAGACTGTCAGGAACCATCTTCGCGACGCTGGAATCCGACCCACAAGACCAGTTATCGTCCCTGTTTTGCAACAGATCCATCGACAGTGGTTGGTGCCATACGTTACAGCCTTGGAATTGGAATTTGAGAAACTGGAGACGAATGTCGTTTAGCGATGAATCACGATTTCTTCTTCACCAGCGAGATGGAAGACAACGTGTTTATCGTCGTCGAAATTAGCGTTTTGCTCAAGAATTTAGGTGTTGGTAGTGTCATGGTCAGGCTCGCTGATGCATGTCATCGTATCCTAATTGTGTGGATCGATACTTATGATGTCAATCACCGGATTGTCTGAGTGCGGCGTAGGTTTCGGGAACGTCTGGGGCGGTCGGGTAGCCTAGTGGTTAAAGCGTTCTCCCGATTCCCGACATGGGTACAATGTTTGAACCTATTTCTGGTCCCCCGCCGTGATATTGCTGGAATATTGCTAAAAGCGGCGTAAAACCATACTCACTCACTCCTTGTGAGAGACTCGGATATAACAATTATCCCCGTGTTCCCATTAATAATGACGTTTTTCATTATGGCGGTTCGTAGGTTCAGTTAATCCGACTTTGTTTCTTCCGAGGTTGACTGGACATATACCTGACACCGTCTTACCTGAAACAGATCCACGTAGTCGGTCTGAAGCCTCTCAAGACTGGTCTGGATGCCTTCCACGATGTGGCGTCGACTTAGACCAACACTGTTCGGGTTGCTTGCAGACACGGGGAACCTCACTTTGGTGGCGATCACAAACCTTTCCCTCTCTTGTCTGAAACAGCGAGTGAGTGAGTGAGTGAGTGAGTGAGTGAGTGACTGAGTGAGTGACTGAGTGAGTGACTGAGTGAGTGAGTGGGGGGTTGTTTGGTTGGGTGAGTGAGTGAGTGAGTGAGTGGTGGGTTTGGTGAGTGAGTGATTGAGTGAGTCGGGGTGGGTTTGGTGAGTGAGTCAGTATTAGGTGGGTGGTAGGATTGATTGATTGTGTGCGTTTTGGTGAATGAGTGTGTGAGTGACAGTATATGCATATTTCTTGATACATCTGGAACGATTACACAATGACAATACCAAGTGAAGGTACTGGTATGAGGTACTGGTCTGAGGTACTGATATGAGGTACTGGTCTGAGGTACTGGTCTGAGGTACTGGTATGAGGTACTGGTATGAGGTACTGGTATGAGGTACTGATATGAGGTACTGGTCTGAGGTACTGGTCTGAGGTACTGGTATGAGGTACTGGTCTGAGGTACTGGTATGAGGTACTGGTATGAGGTACTGATATGAGGTACTGGTCTGAGGTACTCGTATGAGATACTGGTCTGAGGTACTGGTCTGAGGTACTGGTATGAGGTACTCTTATGAGGTACTGATATGAGGTACTGGTCTGAGGTACTGGTATGAGGTACTGGTTTGAGGTACTGATATGAGGTATTGGTCTGAGGTACTGGTATGAGGTACTGATATGAGGTACTGGTATGAGGTACTGATATGAGGTACTGGTCTCAGGTACTGGTATGAGGTACTGGTCTGAGGTCATGATATGAGGTACTGGTATGAGGTACTGGTATGAGGTACTGGTCTGAGGTACTGGTATGAGGTACTGGTATGAGGTACTGATATGAGGTACTGGTCTGAGGTACTGATATGAGGTACTGGTATGAGATACTGGTATGAGGTACTGGTCTGAGGTACTGGTATGAGGTACTGGTATGAGGTCATGATATGAGGTACTGGTATGAGGTCATGATATGAGGTACTGGTCTGAGGTACTGATATGAGGTACTGATCTGAGGTACTGGTATGAGGTACTGGTATGAGGTACTGATATGAGGTACTGATATGAGGTACTGGTATGAGGTACTGTTATGAGGTACTGGTATGAGGTACTGATATGAGGTACTGGTATGAGGTACTGTTATGAGGTACTGGTATGAGGTACTGATATGAGGTACTGATATGATGCACTGGTATGAGGTACTGATATGAGGTACTGGTATGAGGTACTGGTATGAGGTACTGGTATGAGGAATTTGGGGCCTATTCTGACCTGGAATACCCGCAGAGTGAACACCTTGTGACCATACCCACTGAGAGAAAGTACACCTGCGTTGTATGGATTTCTGGGATTCCTGTTTTGGCTAATGAAAAAGAGCAATCAAATCGTCACCACTCGGGTCTTTCCGTTACCTACCAGCAGGCTAATCAGTAATGCCAATTTGGGTGTCACCTACATGCTAGTAACTTGCAAATGCGATTTCCTACTCAAGCTGTATCACAGAAACTCTCTCAACAGTCTACTAACTTCTTGATCCAGCTGCCCAATATCGACTCCGACTTGCCGCTGGAATAGGCGTCTGCGGTGTCGATGAAGTTGCCGCCCCATTCCACGTATCTGTCAAGGATCTGGTGAGCTAACTCCTCGCTTGTCTGACCCCACATGCCGAGCTGAAGCGAAAGAAGAGTTGGGGGTCGTTGGTTCGGTAACTTGAAACAGTTGTATAAGTTCTATCAAGGTGTTGTAGCTTAAAGTGGGAGGTAAGCCCAAACTGACGCATGTTGCAGACATTACCTGTCTCCAGGAAACTTGCCTTTTTGGATAATGAAGGACAACATCTGCATATTAACCATTCCTAGACATTTAATACACCATAAATAAACATATACACAACATAACGAGCACAACACCTCCTGAGTAATCGAGTACATAGATTGATTGATTTTGAAGCAGCTGCGCTCAACCGCAGGAGAGTCTACAGAGAGTCTGAAAACCGTCTGGAGAGATTGAAAGATCAGCTTCACCAGGGACTCAAGACTCCACTCCAGTTACTGGATGCTAAAAGCTTCTATGCAGGGTTGGAGTAAACAAAGAATATTCAGAGCCATTCAATTCAAATAAGACCTTTCGACTTTTAAAACAACACAGCAAGTCTCACCTCAGTCTGTTAAAGATAAGCAAACCCATGAAGCGTGTTCATCTGGTAGTACAATAGAGGATTAAAAAGGTCGTCTGACGGGCGAGTTAACGAAGAGGAAACTAAGTTCGCACGAGTTTTAACTGACAGGTGAACTAAGTTCTATTTCATTAATGATAGAGACCGCCTCCGTGGTCTAGTGGTAGAGCGTCCGCCCGGAGAGCGGAAGGTCAGGGGTTTCGATCCCAGGCCGCGTCATACCAAAAGATGGTACTTGTTGTTACCCTTCTGGCGCTCGGCGTTAAGGGGCTAAGGAGCTAGCACTATTAATCGGCATCAGTCGACACACACGTGCATGCACGTCGCAATAAGTGCAATAATCTTGGACGTGACGTTAAACCCAATTTCACCCCACTTCCCCTCATTAATGATATTCACTCAGTTGTATATAATCATTGCGTTTAGAATTCGCCTTCATGCCATTATAACTGATGTTCAGGTTAACGTACATGTCCTTATTTTCAACAGACAAGGACCGCCTTCGTGGTCTAGTGGTAGAGCGTCCGCCCGGAGAGCGGTTCGATCCCCGGCCGCGACATACGAAAAGATGTTAAAAGAACTTACTTGTTGTTACCCTGTCTGGCGCTCGGCATTAAGGGGCTAAAACAAGGACTGGTCGGCTCGGAGTCAGTATACTGTGTCTGAATGGGGTATTCATGTTAAACTGCGGCATGGTATCTCAGTGGGCTAGCACTATAAATCGGCATCAGTCCGGACTAGTACAAGCAGCCACACATACACGTGCATCCACGTCGCTATATAAGTGCAATAATCTTGGACGCGACGTTAAAAACCCATTCCACCTCACCACCACCTTCCACAGACAAGTGTCGTTTAAGAACGTCGTATAGGATTGGTCTATACATCTTCTTAAATTCTTATTTGCAATATCGCTGATATATCCTTTACACGATTCCCAGGCTTAACAACAGGAACATGGTTAAGCTTCTGTTACATGCGGCCCCGCGGAGTGAATACGGTTTTACGCCGCTTTTAGCAATATTCCAGCAATATCACGGCGGGGGACACAAGAAATGGGCTTCACACATTGTACCCATGTCGGGAATCGAACCCGGGTCTTCAACGTGACGACCGACGTAACCACTAGGCTACCTTATCGCCCCACGGCCCCGCGGAACTTAGGCATTGAAATGTGCAGATTTAAACCACTAGCCATCCGGGCCGCGAGTGCAATAAAGTAGCAAGTTTTACATTTCTTTGTTCACTTGAATGTTCCAAAATTCGGTGGACATTAGACAAGTATAAATTTGTATTTCTTTGATGGTATTAATAAATTCTTACCTTTTCACACAGCTTAAAATATATAAATAAGAATGATACCTATATTTTAATATTGCTTTCATATTTCAAACATATCTCGAATCAGCATCGTCCTTGCTAGAAGACCACGACCAATATCCAAAGTTCAGCGAGTGACCTCCAACTAACAAAAGTCCAACGATGCCTATTGGCTTGTCTCCCCTTGTAAACAAATCTTCATGAGTGAGTGAGTGAGTGAGTGAGTTGGGTTTAACGCCGCGTTTAACAGTATTCCAGTTATATCGCGGCGTGTCAGCTTAATGTGGGAGGAAAGCCCGAAGTGATGCAGGTCTCAGACGTTTTCCACTTCGGTGAAACCCACGAGCACGGGTATGGTGCTGATAAACCTAGAAACATAATCGGGGCAAACCGGGATTCGAACCCACAAGCATAGGTTTCTGGCGCTTCTGGGAGGCAACTCTGCACAGCGAATCGCGGCGCCTTGGACGACTGGGCCACCCGTGCCCCCTCTTCATGTGTGAGTGAGCAAGGTGTTTTAGAGCCACTTTGTGTGGTATTCCAGTTATATCACTGCGCGACAGCTTGATATCGATGTGGGAGGAGAGTACAAAGTGATGCAGGTCTCAAACGCCTTCCAGGTCAGTAAAGCACACGAGTGTGTGGTGCTGACAAACCAAGAACCATGATTAGGACACACCGGGATTCGAATCCACGATCATAGGTTTCTGGCATACCCAAGGCATGCAACTCTTCACAGCGAATTATGGGAACTCGGCCACCCGTGCCCCCAAACGAATCTTAAGCCCTTATGAAGGGCTGAGTTGATTACCGTGAAGAATAGTGTAATAACGTCAACTCGAATTCCCAAATGTCGAGATATCCGTTATTCGAGACAAGCGGGACGCCGATATTTCACCAGTATACATAAATGGATTGAACAATATATTGAGTACATGGAGTTCGAGTAAACAGGGTTTAATTGTAAGACCCCCACATCTTCGAATTCCTCCGTACATGCAACGATAAATCCATCGTGGCTCACAATAACAGACGTGCCCGAGTGAGCATGGTTTTACACAGCGAGGGGCACCAGAAATGGGCTTCACACATTGTACCCATGTCGGGAATCGAACCCGGGTGTTCGGCGTGACGGGAGAACGCTTTAACCACTAGGCTACCCGACCGCCCCAGACATGCCCGAAACCTATGATCGTAGATTCGAATCTGTGTGATTCACCCTGACTTTGTTTCTACTCGTTTCACTAATGTTTTTGGGTTGTTGTTTTTTGTTGTTGTTTAACGCCGCACTTACATTGACATCATGAGCATCGATCAACACAATTAGGATAATTACGATTACAAGTCTTAGTCAGCGAGCCTGACCACCCGATCATATTTAGTCGCCTCTTACGACAAGCTTAGTCGGCTTTTACGGCAAGCATGGGTTGCTGAAGATATATTCTACCCCGGATCTTCACGGGTCTTCAGTGACTCTTCACCAAAGTACAATTCATGTCTCGAAGTACGGATAAGGCGATATGTCTTGGACGTTCACCGTGAAGTCTTCAGGCTGTTTTGGCATGCAAACATGCTCCTGTTATCTCGGATGATAACAATATAGGTCAGGTGGCTTAATCATGATGATGAATACAGCCACTAGCCTTCGAGACGACACTCACATATTAAAAGCTTATTGACCTTGACCCAGTTAGGTAATCTATAATCTGTCACATGGATTTGTTTAGAGGCCGATTTGTTTCATCATTTGCGGGGTAAATCTAGCTGTGCGGGGTTTTTTTTAAATAAAACGAAGTTAATGTTCTTTGCTGGTTTTCCTGTGTGCAGTGAACGTATACATTTCTGCAGTGTATGTTCGGAAGCAGCGACTGTCAGAATACTCTGTTCTAAATTACTGCCAACCCTCTTGTTCCCATCCGAGCACAACACAAACCACACCCACCAACCTCCCTAAACACACACACACACACACACACACACACACACACACACACACACGCACACACACACACACACACACACACACACACGCACACACGCACACACACACAAAACAGTCTCTACAGCCAAAACCACACCCACCAGCCTCCCCACCCACACCCACATCCAAACAATGACCTATGGACCATCAGTCTCTACCTTTTAATCTTATATCAATGTGAATTCGCATGGGGTAGGCGTTTCCTTCAACTGGTAACCTGCAAGAAGACTCGTCCCCCTGTCGTTGAATGTTATGTGCGAAAATACGACAAACCAGTCAGAATGTGCGTATGATTTCAAGTTGTTCGTCAAAGAATCCCTCGCAAATAATTTTTGATTTTACATATGTCTTGCATCTAAAAATATACCCAAGACAAATTTAAATGTGTTCAATCATACTGTATAATTTCGCATGTCCAGATGTGCTTTAAATTGCATCTGAAATATATATATAATATATAGGGAAAAATATGTGAACCATTACGAAACGAGTTGACAATTGCTTTAGGTATGTCCGTTTGCGCGAAGACGGAACCCGGTGCAAAAATTGCCATGAGATGGGCACGAGTCGCTATTCGGCTTGTCCCGGAATAACACATTAGTCACGAATGCATCACACCCCGTGCATGCATATATCACATAGTGCGTATTTATACCGCTGAAGTGCATCTGGGCCCTGATAGCCTCGATAGCCTTGACCTGCCGCAAAAGTACTCGTTTGCTGTAATCAGGTGTAATGCAAGGATGTCTCCTTCGTTACTACGACCACTCCTATTAAAAAAATCAAAACCATGATACACACACGTGCACCATTATTTCAATTTCTCTATGCTGAGAGGTGGGTATCAAAATCTACTAAACTGAAAATAAATGGATTATTTTAATTAACATAAGCTATCAGTGCAGGTAAAATAATACAATATTTTAACATGTAGCATATAATAGGTTTACATACGTTGTTATCTCCAAAGGTCATTGTCCCAAGGCATATATTTGCCACTTTTAGTCCAGACTTGCCCAGAAAGTTGTAAACCACTTTGGATTCTTCTGGTACCGCCGCCATCACGAACTATGGTTGAAGACAAAAAGTAAAAATAACGCAACGCAGCACACGTCCAGCTGTCAGAAAACTAGAGTACAAAGTGTATTGGGAAGGGAGTCAACTCTTTTATATCCGCTAAAGGAGAAGATAACGAAATATGGATGAGCAGAGAGATCTACGGAAGCCTTTTAGGGCCATTCTTTTTTAATTTTTCGATACTATCTTGAAATTTCAAGATACTAAGTTGAAATGTCAAGAAACTAAGTTGAAATTTCAGGATACAGAAGTTGAAATTTCAAGATATTAAGTTGAAAATTCAAGATACTAAGTTGAAATTTCCAGTTAATAGGGATATGAATTTTTTTGGAAATGGCGCTAAAAGGCTTCCGTATTTTAGGGCCATTTGTTTTTTTTTAATTTTTTCGATACAATCTTGACATTTCAATATATTAAGTTGAAATTTCAAGATACTAAATTGAAATTTCAACTAACTATCTTGAAATTTCAACTTAATATCTTGAAATTTCAACTTAGTATTTTGAAATTTTAAGATAGTATCTTGAAATTTCAACTTAGTATCTTGAAATTTCGAGACAGTATCTTGAAATTTCAACTTAGTTTCTTGAAATTCCAACTTAGTATCTTGAAATTTCAAGTTAGTATTGAAAAAAATATAAAAAACAAATGGCCCTAAAAGGTTTCCGTAGGTCGGTTATTTGACTGGTTGAAGAATACTTTCTGTCAGTCGAGACTTGAACCTCGGACAGCGGCTAGGCAGGTTGGCTCTCTGACGCCTCTGGGATGCTGCCTGGCCATGTCTGTCTCGTTACCATAATCATGATTGTATAAATGTTGTGTTTATTACGTCACAAATAAAGTGTTGTGGACCCACTGATGGACTCCTGTGTTTGAAGGACAGATATCCCAAACAACCAGCCCGGGATACACACTTCAATATCTTGTTATTTTAGTTGCACCGTTTACTATAGCTAGAGCATATTTGAAATAATAATCACCATTAGCGAAGCACGTTGTAATATTGTCGGATATTCTTCACGTATGGAACAGTTTGGTGAGTCACCGTTAAGGGCGTCCCGCGTACTTGCAATATTTAGATAGTGAGTGAGTGAGTGGGTGAGGTTTTACGCCGCTTTTAGCAATATTCCAGCAATATCACGGCGGGGGACACCAGAAATGGGCTTCACACATTGTACCCATGTCGGGAATCGAACCCGGATCTTCGGCGTGACGAGCTAACGCTTTAACCACTAGGCTACCCGACCGCCCCTATATTTAGATAGTGAAATAGGTTGACACATAATAGTCATACTACAACAAATATGAATTTTATAGAGTCAAAGCATGGCATTTATTATATATGTATCTATTCTCTGTCAGCAAAATTTCGTTTCAAGGCGTCAATATTGAAGGACATTTTGGTTGGTTGGTTTGTTGTTTTACGCCGCACTCAGCAATAATCCAGCTATATGACGGCGGTCTGTAAATAATCGAGTCAGGACCAGACAATCCAGTGATTGACATCATGAGCATCGATCCACGCAATTGGGATTGATGACATGCTTCTACCAAGACAACGAGCCTGACCACCCGATCCCGTTAGTCGCCTCTAACGACTACCATAGTCGCCTTTTACGGCAAGCATGGGTTGCTGAAGACCTATTCTATGCCGGATTTTCGAAGGATATTTTGAATAAAATTGTTAGAATAGATTACAAACATAAGTCCAGATATACAATGAACACGTTTTATAACCAGACAGTGTAACAACAGGATTAAAATGCGTACTTCAGTACGGAGTTGTTGACATGGTATTTCCGGTGTTACGTGCTCACGGTAATGTCTATGATATAAGGAGAAAACATCAAAACTCCATGTAGGCGTGTATTAAGTCCACCCCCTACTACACAGTTGTATCGGGGTTGTTGTTGTTTGTTTTTGTTTGTTTTGTTGTTGTTGGTGGTGGGTTTTTTGGTTTGTTTGTTTGTTTGTATCAGGTTTTGATAAAAGAATTCGTAAAACAGCAAATCAAAAATGCTAAGAGGCGACTAACGGGATCGAGTGATCAGGCTCCCAAATGTATGCATTGCTTCGTACCCCAATTGCGCAGATCGATGTCAATCACTGTATTGTCTGGTCCAGACTCGATTATTTACAGACCGCGGTCATATACCTGGAATATTGCTTAGTGTGGCGTTAAACAACAACAAACTGACCAGTGAAGACCCGGGTAGAGAATAGGTCTTCAGCAACCCATGCTTTTCGTAAGACGCGACTAACGAGATCGTGTGGTAAGGCTCGCTGACTTGGTTTGTGCATGTCATCGTATTCCAGATCGATGCTCATGATGTCAATCACTGGATTGCCTGGTCCAGACTCGATTATTTACAGGCCGCCGTCATATAGCTGTTATATTGCTGAGTAGGGCGTTAAACAACAACAAACAAATAAAGCTTAAACAACAAACAGCCAAGCAACACTTCCAATAGCGGGAAATAAAGCTGTCGCGGCGACCAGATGTAAACAAAATATGCAGCTTCTATTCTTGGACGTATGTTGTCTCCTTGCTGAAATTGAAGAGAGTAACTGTATGTGTTATACATAAGAAATATACGACGAATGGGAGTTTTTTATCGTAAAATATAAAATAGCTACGTGATAAATCCCAAAGAACAATGAACAACGAAGAGTGGTTTATTTAACGAAAAAACATTGTTCTATCATGACATCGTTTTTGGAGATTCAAACATGTGCTCGCAACTTCATTACGTCGTATATTGGACGACGTTATATTTGAGAGGGAAGCGTCTAGTGAGTTGTTCCCCATAGATTTAGCTGCGCAACGCAGATAAAAGCAGTGGCGGAACGATCGCATCGAAAAGTGGGAAAGATATGACAATCGGTATTGGGAGATAAGGTCGACCTGATGATTGTGAGAATATGTAGGAAATACCAAATGTAACCCCCTGTTCATAAAATGGACTTGTCCGATATAGCCAAGGTCGGATTCTATTAAAAGAATCATCATTATTAAAACACGAGTAAATATTTTTAAAGCTTGTTGATGTTGATGTTTGTTATCGGTCTTAATAGCCCTGTTGTTCCGTAAACAGATCAAAAGCGATAGATCATCTTGTATTTTATTCAAAAACAGGTTGATTACTTAAATATGAATAAAGAAATGTGTCAATGAAAAGGTTTGTGGCCATTTTTCATTCATAATGTACGCTCAGAGCCAATTTACCGAAAAAAGGACCGCCTCCGTGGTCTAGTGGTAGAGCGTCCGCCCGGAGAGCAGAAGGTCCGGGGTTCGATCCCAGGCCGCGTCCAAGACGCTAAAAGATGGTACTTGTTGCCCTGCCTGGCGCTCGGCATTGAGGTTCTAAAACAAGGACTGGTCGGCTCGGAGTCAGTATACTGTGTCTGCCTGCGGTCTTCATGTTAAACTGCGGCATGGTATTTCGGTATCTAGCACTTAAATGAGCATCAGTCCGAACACACACGTGCATGCACGTCGCTATATAAGTGCAATACTCTTGGACACGACGTAAAACGCCATTTCACCTCACCCACGGACTTGTATAAGCAGTCCGTGCCTCACCTCACCGCTATAAAGTCTCCGAAACGCTGTACACGCTGCTGAAAACATTTTATGGACGTTTCTCTACAAGCTCCTCACAGCGATAGCCCGTTCGCGGAGAGAGAAACGAAGGTGTCACGCGCTGGGAGGGAGCTTGGTTTCTCAGCACATAGAGGGACATAACTCTAGGGACTGTTGGTGAGGGAGGTATCTGTAACCATAAATACACATAGTTCACAATTTAAACCGATAGCATCATTTAAACAGTGTTAGTTGTTTAATAATTTATTTTAAAGACATTATGTGATTTTCTCTCATAGAGTTAACTTCATCGATCCCAACCTGTGTAAAAGAGTTTATATTCTTTCATAAAAAACAACTCCTCCCTTGATTCAAGCTGAGGGAATGTCCCTTGTTAGACAGGTTCGACAAGTCTTCAGGTAAGAAGTTTTGGGTGACTGTGATAGTGTAGACATGGATATAGGCGCGATGTAGCTGTCACATGTCACTGATAGGTCTGCATGACGAGATGGTGTTCTAAAGGTAGTGACACGCCTGTAGATGGCAGATAACAGTGGCAGAACCCCGACTGACTGCAAGTGCAACTCCGCCAAATGTACGCTAGGTTCTCGTCGCCGAAGGCCACAAGCCTACCGGCATTTTGCTTATCTTAGCGCTAAGGCGATCGCTACTCCCATACCTTAACATAGACTTACGACAGTCGTAGCGCTATGGTTGTTTTGTGCAACGACGCCGTTCTACGGTGGAGTCTTTGACGATGAGAGGAGAAGTTTCAATAACTTAACACATGGGTAATGTGCTGAGGAGTCTGGGGCAGTTGATGGGTCGAGGTACTAGGTTTTGTTTGTTTGTTTGTTGTTTACAGAGGCACTCATTAATATTCCAGCTATATGACGGCGGTCTGTAAATAATCGAGTCTGGACCAGACAATCCAGTGACTGACATCATGAGCATCCATCTACGCTATTGGGATACGATGACATGCATCAAACAAGTCAGCAAGCCTGACCACACGATCCTGTTAGTCACCTCTTACAATAAGCAAAGTTGGCCTTTTATGGCAAGCATGGGTTGCTGAAGACCTATTCTTCCCCGGATCTTCACAGAACGTGGGCCTATGTGTGCCAGCATGGCATTGAACGTGATCTGCTTGAACACAGACACTGTGTTGGGAACAATATTTTATTGAACACAGTTATCACTTCGAATGGAAACTTATCCTGCCTGACTTCCCTGCCAAATGTCTGGATGATGTTGACTAACTTGAACAGATGTCAATAGCAATGTGAGGTGAAATGGGGATTTACCTCACGTCCAGTATTATTGCACATATATAGAGACGTGCATGCACTTTGTGTGTATGGCTGCCTGTAATACTCCAGACTAATGCTGATTTTATAGTACTAGCCAACTTAAATACCATGCAGCAGTTTAACATGAACTCAGGCACAGTATACTGTCTCTGAGCCGACCACTCCTTGTTTTAGCCCCTAAATGCCAAGCATCAGGCAGGGTAACAACAAGTACCACGTTTTAACACCTTTTGGTATGACGGAGCCAGAGATTGAACCCCAGGCCTTCCGCTCTCCAGGTGGTCGCTCAACCACTAAACCACGGAGGCGGTCCAGTAGCAATGTCAAATGTGGGACAATGGGATATCAGATGGAGAGTCTGTTTGGAGAAAAGTTGAAAATTATCTGTCATTTGCCTCACAGTTATAATTGATGCATAGTGATTTCCAAACACTATAGTCTGATTAGAGTTTGTTTTTTGCCACTGTCTCAACAGCCACTACATAAATTAGCAGGCCTCAAAGTTTAAATTTTTACCAAGTAGCCATATGGCTACAAGTATTTTTTTCCAGGTAGCCAGTGGTAAAATCAAGAAGACAAGCCAATATTGTAGGTACCAAAATGCATTTGAAATTATCTTTTATCAAATAACTATTACATGTATAAGTCTTGTATATTAGGGGAAACTGTACTTGAGTATTGTTATTTGTGACTCGAACAACGATGCAATTTATGTAAGATTATATAGGTACATCCTTGCTTATCCAATAAACCATCGACTAAAATATAATACTAATTACATCAATATTTATGCATTTCGGTTGATTGTTGACTTTAGGAGGAATTATTTGCGAGTACAATTAGTAGCAGACATGTTTATTTTTGTGTCTATTGCTGTGTAGCAATAGAATTTAGTCGCCACAAGATATTTTTCAAGGTAGTCATTTGGCTACCTCTGAATTTCAGACAGTAGACAAATTGAAATTAAGGTCGCATTGCCGACCATTTTAGTCGCAAATTGAGGCCTGTATAGTGGGGGAGACCGGGGCACATTGGGACCTTATACTATTTTTCTTATTTTCTATCAGAAATAAGAACTTGACCCAGTGCATGTTCATGATAATCTGTTATGCCAATCTTTTTCATATTGAATGCATGCGAATCTGATAAAAACCTGAAAAATTGAAGAGTTGAATTTAACCTACCCCGCCTTGGGGTTCATTGGGACATGTGGAGGACTGACTGGGACACATGGTGGGCTGACTGGGACACGTGGTGGGCTGACTGGGACACGTGGTGGGCTGACTGGGACACGTGGTGGGCTGACTGGGACATGCTGACTGGGACACGTGCTGGGCTGACTGGGACACGTGGTGGGCTGACTGGGACATGCTGACTGGGACACGTGCTGGGCTGACTGGGACACGTGGTGGGCTGACTGGGACATGCTGACTGGGACACGTGCTGGGCTGACTGGGACACGTGGTGGGCTGACTGGGACATGCTGACTGGGACACGTGCTGGGCTGACTGGGACACGTGGTGGGCTGACTGGGACATGCTGACTGGGACATGCTGACTGCATGCGAATCTGATAAAAACCTGAAAAATTGAAGAGTTGAATTTAACCTACCCCGCCTTGGGGTTCATTGGGACATGTGGAGGACTGACTGGGACACATGGTGGGCTGACTGGGACACGTGGTGGGCTGACTGGGACACGTGGTGGGCTGACTGGGACACGTGGTGGGCTGACTGGGACATGCTGACTGGGACACGTGCTGGGCTGACTGGGACACGTGGTGGGCTGACTGGGACATGCTGACTGGGACACGTGCTGGGCTGACTGGGACACGTGGTGGGCTGACTGGGACATGCTGACTGGGACACGTGCTGGGCTGACTGGGACACGTGGTGGGCTGACTGGGACATGCTGACTGGGACACGTGCTGGGCTGACTGGGACACGTGGTGGGCTGACTGGGACACGTGGTGGGCTGACTGGGACACGTGGTGGGCTGACTGGGACATGCTGACTGGGACACGTGCTGGGCTGACTGGGACACGTGGTGGGCTGACTGGGACATGCTGACTGGGACACGTGCTGGGCTGACTGGGACACGTGGTGGGCTGACTGGGACATGCTGACTGGGACACGTGCTGGGCTGACTGGGACACGTGGTGGGCTGACTGGGACATGCTGACTGGGACACGTGCTGGGCTGACTGGGACACGTGGTGGGCTGACTGGGACATGCTGACTGGGACATGCTGACTGGGACACGTGCTGGGCTGACTGGGACACGTGGTGGGCTGACTGGGACACGTGGTGGGCTGACTGGGACACATGGTGGCCTGACTGGGACACCTGGTGGGCTGACTGGGACACGTGGTGGGCTGACTGGGACATGCTGACTGGGACACGTGGTGGGCTGACTGGGACACGTGGTGGGCTGACTGGGACACATGGTGGCCTGACTGGGACACGTGGTGGGCTGACTGGGACACGTGGTGGGCTGACTGGGACACGTGCTGGGCTGACTGGGACACGTGGTGGGCTGACTGGGACACGTGGTGGGCTGACTGGGACACGTGGTGGGCTGACTGGGACACATGGTGGGCTGACTGGGACACGTGGTTGGCTGACTGGGACACATGGTGGGCTGACTGGGACACCTGGTGGGCTGACTGGGACACGTGGTGGGCTGATTGGGACACGTGGTGGGCTGACTGGGACACGTGGTGGGCTGACTGGGACACATGGTGGGCTGACTGGGACACGTGGTGGGCTGACTGGGACATGCTGACTGGGACACGTGGTGGGCTGACTGGGACACGTGGTGGGCTGACTGGGACACGTGGTGGGCTGACTGGGACACGTGGTGGGCTGACTGGGACACGTGGTGGGCTGACTGGGACACGTGGTGGGCTGATTGGGACACGTGGTGGGCTGACTGGGACACATGGTGGGCTGACTGGGACACGTGGTGGGCTGACTGGGACACGTGGTGGGCTGACTGGGACACATGGTGGGCTGACTGGGACACGTGGTGGGCTGACTGGGACACGTGGTGGGCTGACTGGGACACGTGGGCTGACTGGGACACGTGGTGGGCTGACTGGGACACGTGGTGGGCTGACTGGGACATGCTGACTGGGACACGTGCTGGGCTGATTGGGACACGTGGTGGGCTGACTGGGACACGTTGTGGGCTGACTGGGACACCTGGTGGGCTGACTTGGACACGTGGTGGGCTGATTGGGACACCTAACATGTTCCTTTTTATGTGTCACAAGAAAACACAAAAGTAATACAATTCATGTGCAATTCAAACATGTAATAAAAATTGACCAAAACATCAGTTTTGCATGTGTTTGATACAAATACAAAGTTTCATAATAACATATCAAACAGTTTCCGAGTTAGGCTCCAGAAACGAATGTTTGTGTATTTGAGTCAAAGTCCGGTTTGTTGCCATGGAAACATACAAAAATATATTTTTCACAAATACCAAAACAAGAAAAGACACCAGTTCAGCATGTGTTTGATACATATACAAAGTTCCGCAATAAAATAAAATGGTTTTCGTGATGTCACTTCCTGTGTTGAAGCTTGGCTAATTTTTATATATATATATGAATAAACATGCTGTCCCACTGTACCCCATCTGTCCCACTGTAGCCCATGTCCCACTGTATCCCAGTCCCAAAAGACTCATTAACTCATGGTCCAATGTGCCAAATTTCCCACTGTACCCCATGTTCCAATGTATGCCAGTCCCAAAGGACCCATGCATGTCCCAATGTGCCTCATTAACTCATGGTCCAATGTGCCAAATTTCCCACTGTACCCCATGTTCCAATGTATGCCAGTCCCAAAGGACCCATGCATGTCCCAATGTGTCACATGTCCCAATGTTCTCTATGTCCAACTGTACCCCATGTCCCACTGTACCCCATGTCCCACTGTACCCTATGTCCAAATGTATCCCATATTCCACTGTACCCCAGTCCCAATAGACCAATGCATACCATGTCTCAATGTGCCCCCTGTCCAAATGCATACCATGTCCCAATGTGCCCGACCTGTGAAGATTCCAGGGTAGAATAGGTCTTCAGCAACCCATGCTTGCCTTAAAAGGAATGCTTGTCATAAAAGGCGACTAATGGGATCGGGTGTTGAGGCTCGCTGACTTGGTTGATGCATGTCAATCGATCCCAACTGCATGGATCGATGATCATGATATCAATCACTGGATTGTCTGGTCCAGATTCAATTATTTACAAACAGCCGTCATATAGCTGGAATATTGCTGATTGAGACGTGAAACAACAAACCAACCAACTAACCCAATGTGCCCTGGTCTCCCCTATTTGTGGTGAATAGCATGAACATCCTTCCATGTTAATAATAAACAACTTTTAATTTTCCCTCAAAGATATTCTATTCACGGATCTGTAGCATAATCTTTAGTTAGTTTATGTCATGATTTAATGAAAGTTCTGTTTTGTTATTACAGAGTTTTCAGCACAATGAGTAAAACAAGATTCGAGATGTACGTAAAGGCAGGAAGTGATGGGATAAGTATTGGCGATTGTCCATTCTCACAACGTGCAAACATGTACACGCAGCTGAAGATTCCAGCCGAACTGGTCACAGTCATTCCCATAGACATCACCAACAAAACAGAAGACTTTCTGAAACTGAACCCAGAGGGAAAAGTTCCAGTACTTGTAGACCACGAAAAGAATAAAGTGATCGCAGACTCTGGCGCCATCACAAGTTACATACACGACAATTTCGCATCTCCAGATCTGCATCAGAACTACAGTGGTCCAGCGGTACAGGCCTCAAGCGGAGTGTTCGGGAAATTGGCTGCTTTGCTAAAGAATTCCGACCCAGCGTCTATACCCAAGCTGAAGGAAGACCTGGCTAAGGAGCTGAGGGCATTAGATGACTTCTTGAAGTGTGCAGATTGTGAAGGGCCGTTTCTAGTGTGCGACAGGATCTGTGAACTGGACTGCTCTGTGCTGCCTAAGCTGCGACATGTGCAGGTAGCAGGGAAGTATTTTCAAGGGTTTCAAATCCCCGAGGACTGTGTGGCACTTCTTGAGTATATCAGGAAGGGAGAAAATACAGATGTGTTCCGACAAACCTGCCCTAAAGATGAAGAAATCATTAAGGGCTGGTCGAGACATAATATCATGGTAGTGAACAAGTAACTGTGTTGGAGTATTTGTTTTCTGACAAAGCAGCCTTTGAAAGTCCAAACATGTAGCAATATCTCCATATGATATAAACGGTACATTTAGCTTCAATTATTACTGGGCGGTCGGGTAGCCTAGTGGTTAAAGCGTTCGCTCGTCACGCCGAAGACCCGGGTTCAATTCCCGACATGGGTACAATGTGTGAAGCCCATTTCTGGTGTCCCCCGCCGTGATATTGCTGGAATATTGCTAAAAGCGGCGTAAAACCGTACTCACTCACTCAATTATTACTATAATAGTGCCTGAAACCAATGATGTTGATTCTTGTAAGGTCATGCATCAACACCAATCGCATTAATATCAGATCCTGTACTCAGATTTACGGTGTGAATGTATGAGGACACCTGGATCGGATTCCGCCTAAGATGAACTTTCTGATCACCCAATCAGCATGATCAGTGTAGAGGCTTATAAATTCTCGGGTGGGTACAATGTGTGAAGCCCATTTCTGGTGCCCCCTGCTGTCATATTGCTGGAGATTGCTAATACGGCGTAAAGCCATACTCACTCACTAAATTTAAATTCTCGGTACAGATGAGCATAGCATTCGAACAAGCATCTGTGATTTCTGTGTGTTGGGAAAAAAATTAACAGAAGAATTTCCATGTGACCATGTGTCTTGAAGCTGCTATTTTTTGCATTACAAGCCTGGCAATGAGGCCTATAGTACAGAGGATTGGATAATATCAGATACATTGTGAAAAAACGCTTCAATTTACATTGGTTTAAGTTACAAAGTTGAAAAAAAAATTCAAGTGCCAGCTGAAATAAAATGCTGTCATTTGTTGAGAGTAACAATACAAACTTGTGCATGCTAGGATATCATAATAATACAAAGGCCAATATCTTGAACTTAAGTTAGTATAAACTAACGAACAAAAACATTTGATACATCCAGCTGTAATTAACTGTTAATGGTAATTCAGGGGCCTCCTTGGTATTGTCTCCGTTGTCTAGTGGTAGAGCGTCCGCCCGGAGAGCGGAAGGTCCGGGGTTCGATCCCCGACCACGTCATACCAAAAGATGTTAAAAGATGGTACTTGTTGTTACCCTGTCTGGCGCTCAGCATTAAGGGGCTAAAACAAAGACTGGTCAGCTCGGAGTCAGTATACTGTGTCTGAGTGGTGTATTCATGTTAAACTGCGGGATGGTATCTCAGTGAGCTAGCACTATAAATCGGCATCAGTCAGGACTAGTACAAGCAGCCACACACACACACATACACTGCATGCACATCGCTATATAAGTGCTATAATCTTGGACGACGTTAAACCCAATTTCACCTCACCTCCTAGGTTATGCATCAGACACCTCAGAGAGATCATAACTCAGTAGAGATTACACATGTGCAGGGATAAGCAGAGATTCCAAAGCTAGTGCTGCCTTCATAATGGGGGGTGCAGGGGTGGCCCAGGCATCTAAGGCGCCGCGATTCGCTGTGCAGATTTGTGTCCCCTGGGCGCCCCAGAAACCTATGATTGTGGGTTCGAATCCTGGTTCACCCTAATTATGTTTCTAGGTTTGTCAGCACCATACCGTGCTCTAGGGTTTCACCGAAGTGGTAAACGTCTGAGACCTGCATCACTTCGGGCTTTCCTCCCACATTAAGCTGACATGCCCTGATATAACTGGAACAATGTTAAAAGCAGCGTTAAACCCAACTCACTCACTCATATTAGGACAAAATCATTTGGGAGTTCTTCTGTTCTCAGTTGGGAGATATTTTAACATGTTATGCAACACGTCTTGTGGAAAATGTAAACTATTGAAAAGAACATGTTGTCTGGTTGTCTTTATGTTAGAAACACTTGAAAGCTTCCATTTGATAACTTGAAAAGAATGATTGTTTTCAAATGTTTTCATATGATTATAGACCGCCTCCGTGGTCTAGTGGTAGAGCGTCCGCCCGGAGAGCGGAAGGTCGGGGTTCGATCCCCGGCCGCGTCGTTAAAAGATGGTTCTTGTTGTTACCCTGACTGGCACTCGGCATTAAGGGGCTAAAACAAGGACTGGTCGGCTCGGAGTCAGTATACTGTGTCTGAGTGGGGTACTCACGTTAAACTGCGGCATGGTATCTCAGTGAGCTAGCACTATAAATCGGCATCAGTCCGGACTAGTACAATTTAAGCAGCCACACACACACACACACACACACACAAACCCATGCACGTCGCTATATAAGTGCAATAATCTTGGACGCGACATTAACCCCAATTTCATCTCACCTCACCTCACCTCACCTCACCTCACCTCACCTCATATGATTATACAAATGTGAATTTAAATAAATCCATAACCTTAAGAAGTGCTGTTTGTTATTATTGTTCATGTTGACTGATTTTACTGCTTTTTGTTGACTTTATTTCAATCTCAGATGTGCATAATGGAGTCATACCTCCATGCAGCTGAAACTTTGTTATGAAGAATTAAGGTAAATCAATCTATGCTTGTTGGAAGAGGCGACTAACTAACGGGATCGGGTTGTCAGGTTCGCTGATTTGGTTGATGCATGTCATCGTATCCCCATTGGATCGATGCTCATGGTATCAATCACTGGATTGCCTGGTCCAGACTCGATTATTTACAAGCACCGTAATATAGCTGAAATATTGCTGAGTGCAATACAACAAACAAACAACAAACAAACATAGTGTGTGCATCAGATTTTACTGGTGTAACTCCATAAACGCAAAATCATATTGAAGTCAATTCTTAATAACTATGTCAACAATAAGAACTTTACAGAGAGCTTACTTAATCATAAACCAATATTCTACCATGAATTTGTAAAATACTCGATTTTGATTGGTCAGTCAGAGGTTATCACAATAAACCAACTCTAATCTAAACAGCCGATTTGACGGCCGCGGAAACTATTATTTTTAGAAGATAACTTCGTTTATCATGTAATGGGTAGGTTTCTTGGCAGGATAAAGCCAAAGGATAAAAACGATATCCGTTGGGGTCATGTGCGGATAGAGATGCAAATATCAAAGGTCAAGTAGGGACTTCTTTCAGTGTTTATAAACAAACATGTCGTCGCCCTTGTCATTCGGCGATCGAGTCAGAATTAACCATCGGGAATCTGGATAAACTAAAGGGATAATTGCTATCATTATCAAAAGAACAGTCTAATATATTTAAATCAGTGTCTAGCTGTGACGTAGCTAAGGCATTTTATAAGTTTTGGCAACTTTGGAGATATAAATTTCGAAACAATTTTGCGAGGGCACTAGGCCTAGCCAAGCGGGATCAGTAGCCATATCTGTGCTTGAAATCTTTTCCATATTTTAATAATTATATGAACAATTATAGACTAAAAATTGCAAAGTTGCGGTTACTACAATATTCAAAGAATGTGTGGCAGAAAACACGATAGAAATCTACAAGGAGAATGTATTTCAAGTTTAGAGGACAACAGAGAGCTTGCTATTAGGCGCTTTTCTATATGCGACTTTGACATATCACAATGTGCGATGAGACGTCAGAATAGTGGCGCGTGGTGACGAATGAAACCTTTGCATGGATTGCTTTGTTTTCTTTGGGGCGCCCGCCTCATGTTAGCTACGAAGTTGCCTTGCTACATGCTTTAAATAAGTGCCTGCCATAAGTTCGAGTTAAATGTAAACAAACTGTTTATGCATATAGAGCGCCATATTTTGTTTAAAGGCTGTCGGTGATTTCGTTGGAACACTATATGGCAGCCTTTCCGACGTTTGTATTGACAACCTCCCGTGTTAGAGGGAAGCTATATAATTTCCGAGACGGGGTATAGAGCAAAATGAATAACAACACGCATAAGATCAATTGTACAATCGTATCAATTGTATCAATTGGGGGAGGGATTCTTATTTAGGATGACCCAGAGTGGAGAAATAGAATATAAACGCATAATTGAATTCAATAGAAAAACACTGCAGCATGCTTGCTGAAACAGAATAGTGTATATAAATGTTCTTAAATATAGGTGGCGAGAGGGGCTGGTGGTGGGGAAATTAAAGGAAAAATAATTCAGGAGCTCTTAACTGTTTGGAGAATATTTTTAAAAGAGTTCAATTTAACTATAAACACCCACAGTATAGACTTTCTTGGTCCAACTCCTCTGGTATTTATACTTTCGAAACAAAAATATTATATGAATGAACAGGGTGATATATTCTACCTAGTATGCACTAGACAAATAATGTAACATGTGAATAAGTATAATATATGTGAACAAGTAAAATAATAAGACAAAAAAAATTGTCAATGCTTTGGGAAAAGCCTGTGTAAGCCTATGTCTCCTGACCCCCGGTTCTATCAGATAAGGGACAGTCTCGCCACAACACAGCTGTTGCTGAAAGGGGATATATACAATAACAGTGATGTTGGTCAGCTCACTGACACTTTTTACTGGCACATGTGCCGATCAGTGGCATGAGCCTTCCCCATATGGAATGGCATGCTACAACTGATGTTGCCATTGTTGATTTCGCAAGCTTCCCGCAACAGGTCACGTGAGCTTAGTTATGTCACGTGACTTGAGGCCAGCCGCTGAGAAGTGAGACGCCATCAGAGAGCTCCCCGTTGTAAGATCGGTATGTTGAACGTTGCATCCAGACATTAGCATGTAGACTTTACAGTATGTACCAGCATATATCATGGAAGGAAATAGGTTTCACTGTCACACAAAAAGCAGACTTGATGCATTGATTTATCCTACATGAGTCAAACATGCTTACATCTGTATGTGTGTATATATAGTCTATGTGTTTGTGTGTGTGTGTGTGTGTGTGTAATGTCAGATAGCAGCTGAATCTTCATTGATGATAAAAAGGTACAAAGTCTTGAATATTACTGTTACTAGCTAACTGGACAGATTTTCGCCTGCCTTTATCCGTGGTTCTCAAGTCACAGTAACAAGGAAGTCGAAACGAGCTCAACAGTAAGCGACTGGTGTCCGGGATTGCCTAAAAGTCGGATCGGGCGGGGCCTGTTGGTTCTAAAAATGGAATGCAGAATATTAAAACGAAAAATGTGTATCTGGGATAATATGTCCCCACTGTTCACAAATGTTTAGTTTTGCTCAAACAATTGAGTATTTAACTCAACAAATGTATATTTAACTTTAAAAAGTGATAACTATGACTACATATCGAGCGTCCAAGTAGAGGAGTCAGTGTCTTAGCTTATGATGCGCTGGGCAGGAAGTGTTTTGACCACTTTCCTTTCATTGATTAACGTGTTAGGCCTCCCTAAATAATACAAGAAAACATTGATGCAGAGCATCAAAGTTCCCTACCATATGTGATGCCTCACAAACGCATAATTATGATGTTACTGAAAGGCATGATGGAGCATAATTATATTAACCACAAATAACACAACGCTGTTGTGGAATTTAAAAAAAAAATATTTTGAGTATTGGGCAATACAGTTGATACATTTGCATAGGGTAGGTCTATTTAAAAAAAGTTTCTGGTTTAACGCCGCACTCAGCAGTATTCCAGCCATATGAGGGGCGGTCGGGTAGCCTAGTGGTTAAAGCGTTCGCTCGTCACGCCGAAGACCCGGGTTCGATTCCCGACATGGGTACAATATGTGAAGCCCATTTCTGGTGTCCCCCGCCGTGATATTGCTGGAATATTGCTAAAAGCGGCGTAAAACCATACTCACTCACTCACTCCAGCCATATGACGGCGGTCTGTAAATAATCCAGTCTGAACCAGATCATCCAGTGATTGACACCAAGAGCATCGAACTACGCAATTGGAATATGATGTTATGCATCGACCAAATCGGCGAGCCTGACTACCCAATTATGTTCGTCGCCTCGAATTACGGCAAGCATAGGTTGCTGAAGACCTATTCTAACCTGGGTCTTTATTTAAAAAGTAGATGGAAGGAAATGGAAGCAATGTCTGGCACAAATGTAAACATGTGGAAATAGTATCAAAACTGCCAACAACATTGGCAGATGCACATACTCAAATAATAGATCACATTCTTTTTACACTTGGCATTTGGTTATAATAATGTAAATGGAAATACTAAGGGCTCCATATGGCAAAAAAGTCATACTAGATAAGGTCTATTGGTCACAACTCAAAATATTATCACGTAGTTGGAAAACATTTCAATACCGGGACTAATCAATAACGGAGATTCCTCGTCTCTTGTTTTACGTTTTTTGGTCAGTTTCTTTTTTGTATTGCTTTCTTTCAAAGAATAGTAATTGTGATCATGATGAGTTGAGTTACTTGGTTTTTTTCTATGTACTGTTTTTTATCCAGTGTCAGTAACTGTTGTGGAATGTGGTTTACTTGTAACAATGACTGGTTTGAGTTCATATGATGATGATTGATTGGTTTGTCGGTTAACGCCGCACTCAGCAATATCCCAGCTATATGACGGCGTTCTGTAAATAATCGAGTCTGGACCAGACAATCCAGTGCCTAATATCATGAGCATCGATCCACGCAATTGGGATCGATGCCATGCATCAACCAAAGCCTGGCCATCCGATCCCGTTTGTCGCCTCTTACGACAAGCATGCATAGTCGCCTGATATACTGTTAAGATGTAACATAACAATTCATCCATACTACTAAACAGAAGTAAACCCGCTTGTTCATTCGGATCAATCTGACCCAAACCATTCCGCTGATGAGAGTCTAATAATGCATACGAATCAAAATCCGTAAAAATTGCAATGGAGACATCATTAAAAGTTACCAAAAGTGACGGGGATATCAATATTGCTTTTTGAAATGATTCTATGAAATTGTTTTCCCTGCTTCAATATTTGGAGCACCTGTGACGGAGCCATATAACTGATCTGTTATGTAGACAATATCGTTTGGGGGAGTGGCTGCTGGGAACTGATTATGACCTAAATACCCCTCATCGCCTTCGGTGTTAACTATGTGAGCTGTGCCTTCATCCAACAGATTATCGAGGTCAGTGGAACACGGTACAGACGCAAATAGATTTGAGCCATGGGACACAAAATATATGAGTAACCAGAGCTACGGCTGTACATTGAATTCCATTAAACGGTTGAAAAATACTACAGCCTTTATGCAAATTCGCCGACACACTACTCCGATTTTGCTTTGACTTTCCTACCAAACGTTTCACATGTGGCTATGTGCGTGGACTGATTAAAAAAAACACGGGGGACTGGGTTAATTCAAAATACGGAACATAACTATTCCAAATATTTCCAGTGAACATGAGCATCCAAACAATCAAAATTGTGGTATGTAGAATGTGGAATTCAGCCATATTACATTTAAATTGAGATGTCGTCGTTGTTCACGAATAAGAATATTCAGAACATAATTTTTATTATGCTCTTATTTACGATCTCCGGAGCACAGTTCTTCTTTTTCTATACACCGTGAAAATTAGTCCTTGAGGAAAAAAGGACATCGGATAACACATGAATGGTTTAATAATGTCAGCTAATGACCAGAAACGGCCAGATGCATCAATTAACTACATAAAGACGATTTTGAAATATCTCTTATTGCTGGAAAAGCAATAGCATCAACATTCCACGCACATGATTTGTATGTTTTGTTTCCGTAAATGCGTGGCTTGAAATTTCAAATAAACCAACATGTCGACATACATGCTACAAAATTAACGTTTCCCGTATACTTCCCCGCCTTAACACAGGATATTTTTTGGGGGAAATGGATTTTCGCGACTGACACCACACGTGTTTAACTGTTAAAGCACTTCCAACACTGTTAAAGTTACTGAAAATACAGTTTAAATGGCAGCTGCGTTCCTAGAAATGTCAATATCGATAACATGTTCTCCACCATAAAACTAAAGACTCTTCATGTTCAAATTCAAGCGACCCGTGAAGAGCCGGGGTAGGATAGGTCTTCAGCTACACATCCATTCCGTAAAAGTCGACTATGCTTGTCGTAAGAGACGACTAACGGGATCGGGTGGTCAGGCTCGCTGACTTGGTTGATGCATGTCATCGTATCCCAATTGTGTAGATCGATGCTCATGGTGTCAGTCAATGGATTGTCTGGCCTAGTCTGTCTTACAGACCCTGATACATTTATATCAACTACAACCCATGCAAGTCTATACTGTTTGGCAAGTCTAGATTACTGCAGTAAATGAAGAGAATCACTGGGCTCCCTTTTTATTAGATTTTTATTAAGATAACTGAACAACTGTTTTTTTCTGTACGATATGTTCATTTCAGAGACTATATGTTAGTCTATGTCTGGCCTAAACTCGATTATTTACAGACCGCCGTCATATAGCTGGAATATTGCCGAGGGTGGCGTTAATCAACAAACAAACAAACTTTACTTGGGAGGGTGCGCTATGAAAGCTTTCAACTGGGTTTCCCACGTGTTCACTCACCGTCTTGACCTGATAAAGTCACATGACAAAGTTGCAGGGGGGCAAGCAACAAGGAAGTAAACGTATCGAAGTACGTGCCCATGAGGTAGGTGCGATGGGTGTCTCAAACTTGATTTTCACTACACGAAGCTGAAACATCACAGTATGTTTATGGAAATGGGTCCATGGCGTAATTAACTGTTGTTCATGTTTCGGTTTGAAATCAGTTCATTATCAGAAATTTATTGTTCAATTGTTTATTTTCTATCTCCACGTTTTACAACTAAGTTTAGTGTTTAAAACTAATTTCACTGTCCATGTACAATAATCCAGCGTCCTTTGTTTTCAAAACGTGGTCATTTCATCCAGTCACTCCACTTCACGAGGCGTATGTGTTCATTGCTCAGGGAAGATATGAAACTGAACTAGCAAGAGTTACCCCCCTTTACCCACAGTGGCACAAGCTTCTTCCCAGCGCGACACCTGTTACACTCTCGGTAACATCACTGCCACCAGTGTGGGCGCGGCAATTACAAGAATCTTGAAATTTGCACTCTAACCCCAAATGTTGTAACGTTTTGTCCTTTGGAAAAGACATCACAGTTAATTTTCAAAAGGTTTACGACTGACCATTTTAACGGACGTATTTACCTTTTTTGTTTGCTCGATCGGATTGGTTCGAGATTGCAGACAAACGGAAAATCAACCATCTTCGTCCCTTACATTGTTACTAGACCAGTTGCATAATAGTTGTAATGAAACAGAAATTAAAATTGACAAACAAAGAAAATAATTTAGCAGGGGTAAATAGAGAGTATTCGGCGTCACGGCAGTCATCATTTGTTTGTAAACATATAACGGTCAGTCAGTTGCGAGTTCAACTCCAAGCATGGTTGTAGCCACCTATCACAGTAGGGAGCTTTGACTGGTTGCCGCGATAGTGTAGAGAGCTGCGCGAACGGGATATCGGTGATAGTTCAGTTATGCCCATCGCTCCTCCCGAAGCATAGGCCGTCGACAACAGTCCGCCAGAGTCCTCGGTCCTGGGCTGCCCTCTCTAGTTGTTTCCAGGTGTGTCCCATCTTCTTGCTGTCTGCCTCGAGGTCCCTTCGCCAGGTGTTTCTTTGCCGTCCTCTTTTTCGTTTCCCCTGGGGGTTCCATGACAGCGCCTGTCTGGTGATGTTACTGACTGGCTTCCTCAGGGTATGCCCAATCCATCCCAAACTTCTGCGCCGGGTCTCATCTTTGGTTGGTAGCTGCCACAGGTCTGAGTTGCTGATGGTGTTGGGCCAGTGGATCTGGAGGATTCTTCTCAGGCAGCTGTTGATGAAAGTCTGCACTCTCCTGGTGATAGTGGCACCACCGCAAAATGTAACGCGGCCAAACAACATGCAGTTGCACGTCTTGTTGTCACTTATGTCGGGGTTTATGTGTAGATTCTTACTATAACATGTACAGATATATTTCATAAAGCAATCTGTTTTGCTTCAGATGGCGACCGCTAAGAAGCTGACAGAAAACCACCTCTCCTGTGCCATCTGTACAGAGGTATTCACAGACCCAGCCACACTTCAGTGTAATCATACATTCTGCAAGTCCTGTCTGCTGAAATACATCAACACACAGCCGGAAGCAGTACAAGGCAAGTCCATCCGATGTCCCTCCTGTAGACAACAGACGAAAGTGTCCAACCCTGACAGTCCAGTTGAGGAGTGGGTCAGTCAGCTGAAACCAAGCCACGTCATACAGGGGCTGTTGGACGACTTTGGACCAGGCACAAAGGGTAATCTATTTATCATAGTACTGTCTGAAAAACAATCCAGTGACTGACATCATGAGGCTCGATCTACGCAATCGGGATATGATGACATGCATCAACCAAGTCAGCGAGCCTGACCACCCGACCCCGTTTTTTGCCTCTTACGACAAGCATAGTTGCCTGTTTCGACAAGCATGTGTTAATCAAATAAATTCTAACCCGGAATCTTCACGGGACCATTCGCCTAAAGAATGGGCGTGGCCGTGTATGACAACACCAATGTGTTACATGCTATTGTTTCTTTAGATATTGTGTGACTCTCATCCTGTTGCATGAAATTAAAGCTCACTTATCTCTTTTAGCTGTGGAGGAACATGTGTGCAGTGAATGTACAAAACAAGGAAAGACAACTCCTGCCACTTCTAGGTGCTCTATCTGCGATGTTGTGTACTGTGATGGATGTCTGAAGGGGCACAACATGGTGCCAGGGTTGTGTGACCATGAAGTAGCTCACTTGTCTGATCACACCAAGACAAAGGTCAAGCGTCGCTTCATGTGTCAAGTCCACAGAGACAAACCGATAGAGTTGTTCTGTAAGGACTGCAAGAAGGCAATATGCACGCTATGCTGCAGTATAAAACACAGGAGATGTAAGGATGTTGATACAATTGAGAGTATGACCTCTCTTATGACAGAACAACTGACAAACAAACTTGAGCAACTCAGAATCAAAATGACAACTACGAATAATATCATAACCCGGAGAACATCTAAAATTCAAGATGTGAAGAGTAATTCACAAACCCTCAAAGATCAAGTCACAAAGACACAGGAGACAGTGATGCGTGCTATTTTAAGAAAAGAGAAGCAACTCCTTTGGCAGATCGACAAATCTACTGATGAACAATTACATGAGTTACAGGCAGATATACAATCCCATGAGATCGATCTACAGATGTACCAGCAGCAGTATGATGTCACAGCCAATGCTATGACGTCTAACTGTGAGATGGACATGTACGACGTTTATGAGTCGATGAGTGAGACGTCTCCAGGCAACAGAGACACGGGCTACAGACCAGCAGCAGGAAGGGTTGTATTCACACACGACCTGGACAAGCTGAGTAAAGCAGTTGATGAGCTACAGCTTGGGAAGGTTGAAGTCATCCATGATGTGAGTGATCCCGAGTCTTTTCCTATTCTACATCACACCATTGATTGCAAGGAAGCTGGGGACAGAAAGAAGCCTGATTTGTTTGACGTCACAGTGTTGACTGTTGATGACATCAAAGTGACAGTAGTGGCAGATTATGATAACACCAGTCTCAAAACATATTACACATCAAACCTCCAATCCTTTCATAAGCAGCTTCTACTTTCTAATGGTCCTTGGCAAATAGCAAAGTTAAGTGAGAGTCAGATATTTGTCAGTGTTCCAAACAGTAAGGAAATAGTTAAAGTGAAAGTTACCCCCAATCCTGTATTAGTGTCAATTATCAAAACAAGCAAAGTGTATTGCGCTCTTGCCTGTCTGAATCCTTCACAGCTGGTGGTAAGTATATATGAACATCCCCACTTGGTGGATATACTGGACATGACAGGGAAGATACTGAGATCTATCACCAAAGGAGTAGGTAATCCTGACTACATCCATGTCTCCAGTAGCAACAACTTGATAGTCAGTGAAAGAGCAGTGAAATCCCTTGTATGTGTGACCAGTGAAGGAGGCGCTGTTTTCACCTACACTCCCACAGGAGTCAGAGCTCTATCACATCCTTGGGGTATCACAACAAGCAGCTCAGGAGATATTATGCTTGTGGACTATGACTCCCACAAAGTGATTCAGCTGACAGAGTCGGGGCATTTTTATAGGGACGTTGTCACCCAACGGGATGGTCTGGAGTACCCTCGTTGTGTCTGTCTTGATGGTGACGGCCTCATGCATGTTATTTCTGATAGATATATAAAAGTCTTCAAATTCTGGCGACATAGGATGAAAATATGGCAGCTTTGATCTTCATACACAGTTGAATATTTCAACAGATTTAATAGTGAGCATGCTGAATGTTCTTGTGGTTGTTTCATGAAAGTGCTTTATATAGACACTGAGATTAGATCTGAAAGCTATTATCATTTTAATGGATATGACCGTCCACCCGTCCTGTCAGCAAAAAGAAACACTTCTTAATAACATTGATCCTGTATATTATGTCTTCACTATGAGCAAACGATTTGTTTGTTTGATTGTTTGTTGTTTAACGCCGAACTCAGCAATATTCCAGCTATATAACGGCGGTCTGAATAATCGATTCTGGACCAGACAATCCAGTGATTGGCATCATGAACATCGATCCACGCAATTGGGATACGATGACATTCATCAACCAAGTCAACGAGCCTGACAACCAGACCCCGTTAGTCGCCTCTTACGACAAGCATAGTCGCCTCTTACGGCAAGCTTGGGTTGCTGAAGACCACTTCTAACCCGGAATCGGGACCATTCGCCTAAAGAATGGGCATGGCCGTTTATGACAACACCAATGTTTTACATGTTATTGGACCCGTGAAGAATAGGTCTTCAGCAACCCATGCTTGCCGTAAAAGGTGACTGTGCTTGTCGTAAAAGGCGTGGATCGATGCTCATGATGTCAATCACTTGATTGCCTGGTCCAGACTCGATTATGTACAGACCGCCGTCATATAGATGGAATATTGCTTAGTGCGGCGTTAAAAAACAAACTAACAAACAAAAAACAAACAAAACATGTTATTGTTTCTTTAGGTTAGCAAGCATGGGTTGAAGACCTATTCTACCCCGGATCTTCACGGGTTCCCAAACGATTTGCATATACTCCTATATATACTCACCACCTAAAGAAACGCGAATACCATACATGTTGGTTAATATATGAAGACTTACTTATATCTAGGAGAAAGTAGATAGGTTCGATCAACAAACGAACATACTGATATGTTGTGTGAAACGATGTTCATAAACGCATAAGATGTGACGTCATAGATCCATGACTCGAGATGCACCATTTGTCTCGTGCAGGATTAACCTGTAATGTTTGGAAATCACGGAAATCGTGATAGGAATAAGACACTCTGTAGATTACATTAATTGGTACACATTGGAAACATCTCTTCTTAACGTACACACTTGTCTATATGTTTCTATGGTTCGCGTTTCTTTTAGCGGTGAGTATATATATATATATATATTTCACCAGCAACTGTTTACCTTTGATGTACATGTACCTCATGTGACATAATATCAAGTTTATACTATACTGTATATCATATATACTACTGCCGCTTGTTCGAACTTTGATGGGAATAGATATTTATATAGGTGAGTGAGTGAAAATTTAAGTGAGTTAAAATTTTACGTCACATCGGCAATATTTCAGCCATATTGTGACGAGATATTTATAAAGGTGTTAACTGTTTATCAATCACTGTACCAATTCGAAATAAATATTGTTTAAAAAACAACATTTTAAAAAAATGACTGGTTCAGGTCCAAATCATATGTGGGCCATTCCTTACAAATGTAATTAACCACGTCATCGCCATTTGGCGTCCAGAGCGGCGGTGATAATGACGTCTTGTGTTTGTTGATATCGGGACCACAATCTGCTGATGAAAAGATTTGAGAAACAAGCAGCGTTTGGGCAACAATATTCTGACGTGCCCACCTGCAACATGCCTCTGTCGACGCGTGAAGATCCGGTGTAGAAGAGGTCTTCAGCAACCCATGCTTGCCGTAAAAGGCGACTTTGCTTGTCGTAAGAGGCGACTAACGGGATCTGGTGGTCAGACTGGCTAACTTGGTTGATGCATGTCATCGATCCCAATTGCGTGGATCCATGCTCATGGTATTAATCACTGGGTTGTCTGGGTCAGACTTGATTATTTACAGACCGCCGTCATATAGCTGGAATATTGTTCGGCGTTAAACAACAAACCAACCAACCAACATGCCTTTGCTACGTAAACGTTCAACGCGTTGCAAACGGCGCATGATCAATACAGGTGTTCTTTCCTGTAGTTTCCTGTAGTTTCATCTAATTACAAAATATCCCCTATTCGTTTTGCATAATATATTGAGATCCTTGCATAAATATTCAGTGACAAAAGTACTCCACAAGAGGGATGACTTTAATAGTCAAATTTCCTTCTTGTCGAATAATATCCTTTGGTGTCAACATTACACTGAGGTACAATCGGGCTTGGTCTTTCAACCAAGGTTTTAAACAGCGTCATACGACTCTTGTTCAGAAGTTGTTTGATCAAGGTTACAACTTCCAAGACCTCAGTGAAGCTTTCAAAAGGTTTTATGGTAGGCATGTAGAAGACATTTGCAATTTGAGGCATCAGTAACCAGAAAGATGTCCGATGTGGTGTCTCCTTGGGCAAGTGACTTTGTTCGAAATGTGCCTCTGTTCGCCTAGCAGTGAGTGGGTACCCGGTAGGATGAGATGGTAATGTAACTGTCAACTTTCTAGCGCCTCACAGGCAGCTTGGGTTGTATACTCCCCAGGGAGCTGAGAATGAAAATCGAGTGCTCACTGATCCATTGACTGGGGTAATAATGTAAGCGCCATTAGCACACAAGCTGGTATGGAGTTTGGCGCCATACAAATGGACTCATTATTGTTATTAAGATTCTTCCAGGTGAACCATTCCTTGTGGCAAGACAGGAATGGTCTTCTGTCGATGGCGTTAGAGGGCGCTGCTCATTGATGGGAACGAAGGCTTGGTGCGGGTTTCTTCTGGGGCGAAGTTGCTGAGGACGTCATTGTAAAGTATGCACATGGCAGTCACATCTTTGAATATTTTGCTCAGATTGCAGATCGTGTGACTATATTCTGGTGGATGGTTGTGCTCGGTGTTATCTCTCAGCATATTGACAACATTGATGACTTTCCCCCTACTGGTTGCCTTCACACACTTCAAGCGAACGCAGGGTGAAGATATCCCTCGTACATCCAAAACTTAACATGCTATCATGGGTATACACTATAGAAGAAAAAATGGAAAAAAAGTTTCGAAAACTCAGAATGTTTGCCGTTCCGACAACTCCGAAAAGACGACCTTGGGCACGTACATTTTTTGGCTGTCTTGGCCACATTTGTGACGGAAAAGATGAAGTTGTCGGAGGGGGTCTCAGACCTGGCCAAACGAAGTTTCGGTTCGGGGGACGGGGCCTCACCCGTTGCTAAGTGATCCAGCTCACCTCAAACGCAAAAGAAAGTATGCACTTGAAAAAATCACTCTGATTTACGCTGTTCGTTACTGTGTTTTGTATAATGGCGAGCCCGTGTCCTTGAGACGTTATGTGCACGTCAACTGTTTTTAGATGTTGCAATGCAAGGTCCCCGATGTGTGAGTGAGTGTTTGTTGGTTAACGCAGCATTCACCAATATTCCAGCTATATGACGGCGGTAAGTAAATAATCGAGTCTGGACCAGGGATTAACATCCCTTGCCCCGGGAAGATGGTCCTACATTCAGAGAACTATTTTATATGACGTGAAGCAGTGAAATAAATGTGAAACAAATATCCCAGCTCATAAACGAACAAAGAAGATTAACCAGCGCAGATCCGACTGACGCGGCTATTCAGTTTATCTCTTTCGGATCAGATTTTATATACGAACGAAATACACACACAGAATTTCAGTGACACTTCACGGATGCCGACTCACCTTCTATCGCCCTACCCTATGACGGGTCCGATGTCTGCTACAGCGGGCTGTGTTAATGGTACGGGACACAAACGGTTGCTCTCCATGCCGCCCAACAGACATCGTCAACCTTTTTACGTTCCGTAATTTCGTTAAAGATCCGATATTACAGATGCAGCGTGTTCGCGAAGCAAATGGATCCGAATTTAACAGCTGGCACGCCATTTTGCAATCACGCTTATCTGTTTTGTTCGGCGAGCCGTCTGAGGGACACGCTTCTTATTTTACCACAGTTCGGATGAACACTAGGCGCATGAGTCAATGTGCCCGCGGTACACGGTTTCATGAGGCAAAGCAAACCGCCATACACGTTCCTCTATTGCAACAATGCCAACTTGCTTCGTCTCTTTCTTCCGCGGTTTGGGTATGTTCATGAAGTGGCACTCGCAGTTAGCGATTTCGGATTCCGGATTTCTGTTCAGTTTCGGATTCGTGAAAGTTGATTAATCTGAGCGTAATGATTTATTCTTCTCGGATCCTAAAACGCGCAAACGCGTCTGGTGAGGTAGACAGCACTTTAAATACTCTTTGCAGGAAGCCCTGAAGAAAATAAACAGTCTTGTTAATAATTTTACAAATTAAAACTTTTAAGACATGTATCAGCATTTAAAACATCGCCCAAAACTGGCGGCATGTATGAACGAATCCAAACTAGACTGTGAGAGAGTATTGTTTGAAGCCGCTTTGTAGCAATGTTCCAGCAATATCACATCGGGACACCCGAAATGTTCTGCACACAGGCCATGAGTAAAGAACTGTGCATGGACCCATAAACCACAGAGTTGAACTGGACACACTGACTATAATACGTTCTTGAGACTAACATTTGAGTCTTTTGCGAGAAAGGTTGTACGATTCCGATTGTATAATGCGCATGTGTTTATGATCCTGCCCCACGGGTGGCACCCCTCACAAACACATGCAAAGACAAGTAATGTGTTCACCATGTTCCCATGTCTCCAAAGGTCAATTAATAATCTGTGATAGCTACATCGAACTTGTACAAAAGCTGGCCCAGGTTTTGTCAAATATTTCTTCAAAAGGGGAATGTCTGTTGTTCTGAGATTTAGAAAGTTCATAGGAAAATCGTTTTTCGTACCTATCGTACATTGTAAGTATCGTTATCATACGCATTTGTCTTATTGATAGCAAAAGAGAATATACACGATTATTCCATGCATATATAACCATATCCACGCTCATTTAACAGACAAAATTAGATAGACGCGTTGAGGTTATCACACCAGTGTTTTGGGACGATAATGTGTGTTAGGAATAACCATTGTCTCTAGCGAGTCTTGGCTTTTTAATGTGTTTAATATACATTGTTGGTTCGCATCTCCTGGCGTCTAGTATAAACTGAAATCTGGTGTTTAGTGAAGTCTTGTATCTACAGGTGTTTAATATACATTCTACCATGCATTTGAAAACTTCTCGATTCTTATTGGTCGATGTTTGTGGCTAGCATACTATGTTGTTTATTATCTACCGGCATGTCATTGTCGATGTAAAGATGTTTACTCATACCCGTATGACCAGCTTATGTTCAGTGTACAATAAAAGATTAACCAAACAGGTATGCGGTATCTGACATCCTCACCTCTCGTAACCTGTCATTTTTCAGCATGACAGACATTGCTTGAGTCTGTACTGATTTAATGAGCAAACAAAACATAACGTACTGCCCTGGCTGTTGACACAAATTTTGTAAAAGGCGGAATATTAGAATATGAATATTATAATTCGAGTGAGTGATTGAGTTGGGTTTAACACCGCTTTTAACAGTATTCCAGTTATATCACGGCGTGTCAGCTTAATGTGGGAGGAAAGCCCGAAGTGATGCAGGTCTTAGACGTTAAACAATTCGGTGAAACCAACGAACACGGGTATGGTGCTGACAAACTTAGAAACATAATCGGGAGAACAGAGATTCGAACCCACAATCATAGGTGTCTGGCGTGCCCAAAGGACGCATCTCTGTACAGCGCTTTCCTCCCACATTAAGCTGACACGCCGCGATATAACTGGAATACTGTTAAAAGCGGCGTTAAACCCAACTCACTCACTCACTCACTGTACAGCGATTCGCGGCGCCTTAGACGACTGGGCTTTCCGTGCTCCCTACAACTTTGAGACAAATTGTAGAAGATGCTCAAATGGATCCTTGATTGTGGTGCAGTTTGTCTGCACTAGTTGCTATATAGTTAATAATAATGCATCATCGAAAATGATAAATACAAAATTCTTTAGAATAGGCCCGCATACAGCCTCAGACCTATCCAGGCCAACAAACCTGTCCCTTTTGACAATGTGATTGACTAGATTCAGGAAAAACATGTCACCTCGTTCTACAAAAAACATTTATCACACTTCCACCCCAGGTACCAAGTTGTCCGACTCCCCGTTGTTCTCGGTGCCTTAGTTTTGGTACCTACCGATCTGTTGATTGACATCAGAGATTACTCGGGTTTGCTGCCAGGAATACAGCCTTTCTGACAATCTGGGTAATGCAGAAGGCTGCAATGTTGGGGAGTCTTCACATACTCCGAGAAGTTATTGGTGGGTTAGACTGGACAGCGCTTCCAGGGAGAAGTCCAATTCGCTGTCTGGGCTGCGTGTAGAGGGGACAAGGGCTCTGAGCTGAAAATGAGCCTGACAAGCCTGACTATGCCAGGATCACTCAAACACCCTTTTTGCTGCATTTTTTATTTCAGTCTGCTTAATAAGATGGGAAAATTATGTTTCATTAGATTGAAACAGTTTTATGTTTTATGAAATTATTACAAAAATTATAATTATTTTATTTTGTTTCATTCGGCAATTGGTTTTCTCAGAACTGTGCTATCATATCTCTGGTCATGTACGAATTACTATATATTTTTATTTATATTGCAGTGGGAATTAGTATTTCAGATAAATGCCGAAATGAGAAAGCATGTGCTGTAATCAGGATCGTTGCATTGATTGTACATGTTTCAGGGGCGTTTCTATTATTAATATTTAACATCCAAACCAACATGTTATCATGGTAGGCAGTGTGCAGACAGATATCTCTGGCCACCACAATAGAGTCGTAAATAGTTGCTTTGAAACATGTATATACCTGCCGTCAACGGATCACCTGAGCTAGGTTATGTCACGTGACACGAGCCAGCAACCAGGAAGTGAGACGCCTTCAGAGAGCAGACGCGCCCATTGTAATATCGGTACGTCACCTAGTTATATAACATTTCACACACATAAATATAGATGTTTCTTAAGCCAACAGTACATTGCTGCGTTACCTATGTTATAATGTATACCTGCAAGGACCACTGTTTCACTTGAACACAGAAAGCTTGATATCGATGTATCCTATCATTCGTGACCAACTCGTGTTATTCCAGGACAAGCCGCAGGTTACGGAAAGGGGCGAGTGGTGACGAATGATCGAAGTATACTACAGGAGTCAACTATGATTACATCCATATATTTCTGTATCATGTCAGTTAGCAGCTGAATCTGCATCGTTGATTAGGGATCAAATCCTAGAATATTACTGTTATCGACATTTACAAATACCAGCTAGGTAGACAAGGTTTTGACTACATTTACATGAGGTCATAGTGACCTGTTTTAACGAAAGTAGAAAAGAGGTCGACAGTAAACTTCTGCTGGTGTCCCCGACCTAGATACCCACCTCAACCTCCACCCCTCCCCCATTGCACACATCATCATACACGTGTCATTTAAGTTGCTAATGTAAGAGAAGTTTCATGAATGTAATGAAACATGGCATGGACGATAGGTGAGCTTCTCGGGTCGAGCGAGCCGTTGTAGTGATGCGGAAAATTTGATCAGAGTTATGTCCCTTTGAACAACATCAACACATGTATATATGGTATATACTTGTGTGTGTGTATGTAGGAGTGGGGTGGATCTTTAGCAAGTGAGTGAGTGAGGACACATAGTTTTACATACACATACATACATACATACATACATACATACATACATACATACATACATACATACATACAGTTGATATCTTACACAAATACCAAAATATTCAGATCCATGTAACTCACATTTTGTTGTGAAACCTACATTTTTTACTTAATATAACCTGTGATGTTATTGTCAATGTCACAATATAAATAAGCCACATTCAGCAATGTGCAACCCTGGCGATCTGTAAATAGTCATGACTCGGCCCGGAATGAGCAATAATTCCGACACAAAGGGTGACACAAAGCTGACCAGGTCAAAGGGTGTGTGTTCACACCATCCAATCCTCGATTTAGTTGCTTCTTACGAAGCACAGAATACTAGTGCTTAAATGTGTTGTGGAACCTCCATCGATAGAACAAAAATAGCAGATATATTAAATGTTTATGGAAGTTCATATGAAAGTATATAATACTAAATACGATAGTGTAATAAACAGCCACAGTGCTATAACGAAGACGTTAACTTATCCTCAACAGATGGGTCTGTAACAAAGAGTGTAATATTGATATTAATATTGATATTTCACTATGTGTTGATGTCACGGATATGAGATGGTTGTGGATCACTGGCTTGGTTAAATACATGCGACGAAATATTTCCATTATCAAAGAAATAAGTCCACTGTACAATCATGACTACATCATGAGCATGTGTTTATAAATCACCATCACATAGTGATGACACCAGGTGTTCGCGAAAAGGTGTGCGTATCCTGCCCTCCTAGTGGCACCATCACAAACACATGCACAGGCAAGGTACTCTAAATGTTCAACATAAACGATGTTGGCAGCGTCACTGACGCCTTGGTTGTTGTAACTTTTATCAAACAACTTTTGAGGAAGATTAGTACGAAGCTCTTTGAAATATTCTTTGAAAGAGCATGCTCAATCTGAAAAGTTGTGAAATCAAATGTAGACACCGAAGGCTGGATCCCCTGGACTGTTGCCCGACATAAAGGGAAGGATGACTACTGGAGAGTCATCCCTCTTGTCATACAGTCTTGTGGAGATTTTGTGTCACTGAGAACAACTACAATATTATCATATAAGTAGTAAATACATGTATTCTTGGCATTTCTTAAATCAAACAGTTTTACTTTACAGAGGACGGTGCGCATATAAAAAACGCCAATTTTTGACAACTTGATGTGACAAAGTTGCGTGGTGACAGGCAGCAAGGAAGTCAAGGTATTGAAGAACGTGTGGTGTTCGAGGTAGGTGCGATTGGTGTCTCAAACTTGATTTACTTTTCACTTCAAGACGCTGAAACATCACCGTGTTTGTTGAAATTGGCCCATAACGGAAACGACAGTTGATCATGTTTTCAAAACATGGTATTCATTCCTCATATTCACTCAGGGTAGAGTATGACAACAAGAGTTACCCCCCTTTACACACAGCCGCACCACAGATATACAATGCAGTGGGGCGTCTTCTTTTCTCTCCCGTCTCACTGCCTTGTAAAGATGTTACTTATTGGGCATCGGGGTTGATGCAGTCATCTAATGTTTTATGATTATGTCTACAACACATGCATCTATACTTCATTTACCTGTTCGATTTGCTTCAGATGGCGACCGCTAAGAAGCTGACCGAAAACCACCTCACCTGCGTCATCTGTACAGAGGTGTTCACAGACCCAGCCACACTTCACTGTCATCATACATTCTGCAAGTCCTGTCTGCTAAAATACACCAACACACAGCCGGAAGCACTACAAGCCAAGTCCATCCGATGTCCCTCCTGTAGACAACTGACGACGGTGACCAACCCTGACAGTCCAGTAGAGGAGTGGGTCAGTCAGCTGAAACCAAGCCACGTCATACAGGGGCTGATGGACGACTTTGGACCCGGCACAAGGAGTAATCAGCTTATTATTGTACTGCCTGACTAATAAACCTTGGTTTGAGATATATAAACACAACCATACGCGAACTAAACAAGCATTCGCTCATAGAATGGCTTATTATGTCTTCATGTTAATAGATGCAGGATAAGTATTCATTTCCCACAAAGACAAACACATTACAGCCTGACCCACCAATGAAATCTAATGTAACTCAAATATATAGTGTCATTACTTAATAGAATTACATAATTTATTTTTACCAACCCCTTCCAACTCGTCATTCCTTTTAGATGTTGTTTACAAGCTAGTAAATAATTGTTTTGATATTTATCTGTGGACTTGATCTCAGTTGCATCTTACTGCCAAGGCTGTGCCACGATTTGAACACCTGGCCCTCCATTGTGACAAATCATGGATAACGATTTATAAACAACTTATGGTTAAAATTTATGTCATTATGGAATCCCAACTGAAATGATGCTTTTTCATCTGTAGTGTGTAATGTACGTCTGTATTTTGTTCAAGGCAGCAAATAATACTCTTCTGGTTACGATTTACAGCAGTAGCTCAGGAAAATACATACAACTTGTTAACACGCTCCTTCCAAATGGTCATTCCTTTCAGATGTTGTTTACAAGCTAGAAAATAGTTGTTAAAATATTAACTTTATCTGTGGAGTTGATCTTAGTTGCACATACACCAGAAGCAAAATTAGTTTTTTCAATAATTTTCTTGGACAATTTATTTTTTCAATACGATCTCAGGTGTTGAGCCTTATAATTATATTAAGGTGTTGTTTGCAGAAAACAAGGACATTCGTGGTCTAATGATATAGTGTCTGCCCGGAGAGCGGTAGATCGGTGTTCTGTTGAATCCTACAAGGCACATTGTCGCATTGTCGCCCTTACAAAAACAAGCAAAAAGTGTCAAAATTATATAAAGCGCGACAATGCGACAAGAAGACATTTTTGCCATTTGTCGAATTGTTGTGCCTTCAATCATATTTTTTATTTAACCTAACGACGACAACGTGAGATTTTTCTAGGTCAAAATATGTCGCGTTGTCGCCCCATCAATAATGTGTATATAAGACGTTAATGTACGCGACAGCGTGACAATGCGACACACGACATATTGATAATGTCTCATTGTCGCCCTTTTCGAATAATGGTGCGCATATGTTGTAATCGAATTGATCTCCATATGCACCAAACTGGTTATACTCTTTTTTTAAACTCCATGTATAGGTTGTTTTTCTCAAATTAAAACAAATCCTTATAAATTAGTTCATATCGTTATTGTCCGTGTCGGTTTTCATAAACCAAACGTGTTTTCACAGCAAGAAACAAACACCTTGTATTTCTATTTAATTAAATCCGGTCTCTGACATCTTTTCAAATAGATGACGGTTGGCACTGTTGTTTTAGACGGCGCACTTCGCTGTGCAGAGTTGAACACTTGACCGCCAGAGTGACAAAGCACATCTGTTGAGCGTTCTGTCATTGAGGACTCCCAGCATAAATGGCGATATAACACCTCTTCTGCTTATCATTTACAGAAGCTCATTTTTGACCAGGGATTCCTACATTGTGTTCAACAGCAATATTGTTTCTTTCCAACCTGTAATAAATAATATATTCACCTACAAAATGGATGTGTACATTTATGACAAAACTAACGTGTTAATTATATTGTTAGATAGTGTCCGATTCTTATCATGTTTAATGACATTTGAAATTAAGCCCATTTGCCTTTTCAGCTGTGGAGGAACACTTGTGCAGTGTTTGTACAAAACAAGGAAAGACAACTCCTGCCACTTCTTGGTGCTCTGTCTGCGATGTTGTGTTCTGTGAAGGATGTCTCCAGATGCACAACATGATGCCAGGGTTGTGTGACCATGAAGTAGCTCACTTGTCTGATCACATCAAAACAAAAGTCAAGCGTCGCTTCATGTGTAAAGTCCACAGAGACGAAAAGGTGAAGTTGTTCTGTAAGGACTGCAAGAAGGCAATATGCACGATATGCTGCAGCATAAAACACAGGACATGTAAGGATGTTGACACAATAGAGAGTATGACTCCTCTTGTGAAGGAACAACTTACAAACAAAATAGAGCATCTCAGAATCAACATGGCGGCTACTAATAATAACATAACCTGGAGAAAATCTACAATTCAAGATGTGAAGAGTAATTCACAAACCCTCAGAGATAAAGTCATAAAGACACGGGAAACAGTGATGCGTACTATTTTAAGAAAAGAGAAGCAACTCCTTGGTGACATTGACAAGGCTACTGATGAACAATTACATGAGTTACACGCAGGTATAAAATCCAAGGAGATCGAGCTACAGATGTACCAGCAGCAGTATGAGTTCACAGCCAATGCTGTGACGTCCAACTGTGAGATGGACATGTATGCCGTCTATGAGTCGGTGGGTGAGACGTCTACAGACAACAGAGACACGGACAACAGACCAGCAGCAGGAAGCGTTGTATTCACACACGACCTGGACAAGCTGAGTAAAGCAGTTGATGAGCTACAACTGGGGGAGGTTCAAGTCGTCCATGGAGTGAGTGACCCTGGGCCTTCTCCTGTTCTACATCACACCATTGACTACAAGGAAGCTGGGGACGGGAGGGATCCTTGCTTGTTTGACGTCACAGTGTTGACTGTTGATGGCATCAAAGTGGTGGTAGTTGCAGATTACAATAACAAGAGACTCCTAACATACTACACATCAAACTTCAAATCCTTTGATAATCAGCTTCTGCTTTCTTGTTGTCCTTATCAAATAGCCAAGTTAAGTGAGAGTCAGATAGCGGTCTGTGTTCCAGGCAGTAAGGAAATAGTTACAGTGAATGTTACCCCAGGTCCTGTATTACTGTCAACTATCAAAACAAGCGAGCAGTACTGGGCTCTAGCCTGTCTGAGTCCTTCACAGCTGGCGGCAGGTGGATATGGACAGTCTCACTCTGTGGACATACTGGACATGACAGGGAGGATACTGAGGTCTATCAACACGGGGCTGATAGATGATCCAGCCTTCATCCATGTCACCAGAAACAACAACTTGATAGTCAGTGAAAGAGAAGTAAAATCCCTTGTGTGTGTGACCAGTGAAGGGGACGCTGTTTTCACCTACACTCCCACAGTAGACAGGGCTCTGTCATTTCCTCAGGGTGTCACAACAACCAGCACGGGAGATATCCTGCTTGTAGACACAGACTCCCACAAGGTGATTCAGCTGACAGAGTCGGGGCAGTTTGTCAGAGATGTCCTCACAAAACTGGATGGCCTGATACACCCTAGTGGTGTCTGTCTTGATGGTGACGGCCTGCTGTATGTTACATCTGACAGATATGTAAAAGTATTCAAATTCTACTGGCGCTGAATTTTAAAATAGAGATAATTTTCATCTCAATGCACAGTTGAAGATATTCAAAATTGACAGCTGCTTAAAGTCCAGATCGGCTCTTGTTAATTCCCTGCAAACGTAATTCCCCATGTCAGTGATTAAACATAGGGCGATCTTTCACGTATGGAAATCTGACCTGATTTGTGATGTCCGTTTGTATGAAACGCACAGTGACAGGGTTCGTCCCGATTATGTTTCTAGGTTTTCCACACCATACCCGTGCTCCTGGGTTTCACCAATAACGGGTAAAAGTCTGAGACCTGCATCACTTCGGGCTTTCCTTCCATATTAAGCTGCCACGCCGTCATATAACTTGAATACTGTTTAAAGCGGCGCTATTTGACCTCGCGTATTGTGACGTGGATGACGTCACGAGAATCAAATGTTGTGGCAGTATAACGGATACACCTGCTTTCAGTTCCTAAATAACAATATTCTCTTTGAACTAACTAGAAGGTATATCTTGTGCATCACGATTGGAAAATTTCTACGGCGACCGACGAGTGAATGAGACCGCTTATCACTTGACTTACACTGTTAGAATATTTGGCGCGGTTTTCTAATTTTGGTATGTTGACTTACGCGCATATCTTTTGAAGGCTTGATATTCCAAGAAATTAATGTGCATGTAGTTGAGTAAGGGAGTTGAATTTTCACAGTGAGAAAGCCGTCAAAATGGATCCAATATTAAAGAACCTAGCTGTTTAATATTGTAGTTTCATCTATCCGAATATTGACTGGCTCAATTTATAACATCAACAGTAATGGTAATAGATCTCCACGCAATATATAGATAATCGATTTCTGAAGGACAAAATGTTTTCAGTGTAATTGTGATTTCGTCTTGATGTTTTAGATAGTTTTATTTATGTTTTATTTCACTCTGCATTGTCTAAATTACCAAATACTTCGATCAATGACATAGCAGTAATTACTTTGTTTTGTTTCCTTAGTAAGAAATTTATTATTTTTTAAATATTTGTCTAAGAGCACAATGAATGCATTCTTGTTCTTTCTTACAATTTTAAATTGTATATCGTCACTCCAAGCTGTAGTTTAGGTAGGCCAAAAGACAAAAAGAGAAAAACATAATAACTGAAAACCGTTTATATTAAAGAATTTGCTGGTTATATTTTGAAAGTTCAATACCAAGAATATATTTTTCCTTTCATGACAAATAATTCCATTTTTTTCATTGACCTATGACCATTATCTATTTCAAACTGTTCCTTCAGTAGAATGGGATGAAATGGGAAAGGTACTGGAAATAATCTATCACGTACCGTATGCCCTTGAATGTGTAAATACACTTCTAAGGTCGAATTTATAAAACAATATGATAGAAAAAATTGTATTTCATGGACTGGCCATACAAGTATATTTTGCGCAAAGGTCTAAGTAATGCAGCCAAGTGCGAAATACAAGCTGAGACGAGGGTGTATGTTTTCTTGTGGTTATAGTGAAACAAATTTGTTCAGAGTTTTGAGCAAATGAACTGTATACACATTGAACACTACTTTAATCGAAGTAATTCATATATTCGTAATTTTCCCTTTCACTTAATCTGGACATTATTTATAATTATACCACAAAACAATAATATTGCCTTCTTTCACTTGAGCAAGTTATCGTTTCCTTGTATTGAATATAGACTACTCTTATGTCTATCAGCGTTATCATATGTACTTTCCAAAAAGGGTGACTATTGGTCTGGAAATCACTATTGTGATAACTATTGATATTGCAAGCAACTTCGATCTTTTCTTCCATATTAAGCTGCCACGCCGTGATATAACTGGAATACTGTTTAAAGCGGCGCTATTTGACCTGGCGTGTTGTGACGTGGATGACGCGTCACGAGAAACAGCAGATCTAATGTTGTGGCAGTACGGCGACCGACGAGTGATGAGACCGCTTATCACTTGACTTACACTGTTAAAATATTTGGCGCGGTTTTCTAATTTGGGATGTTGCTTTTCAAATCTGTTTGAAGGCTTAACTATTGGTCTGGAAATCACTAGTGCGATAACTATTGATATTGCAGCAACAATTGCGATAAATATCGATAATTTTCAGTGTATTATTTTAGATGGACTTTAGAGTTAAATTAAACCTTGGAACTGAAGTTTCCTTTGAATGTTCTAACCATAACAACAAATAAAAAATAAAGTTTGAGATATGACTGATTTGTTTTTTCTTTACCCTAATAATGTAAGAAAAAGAAAAACAAATTTGAACAGCATTGCATGTATTTTATTGATATTGTAAATACGATCGAAGCTATCTCTATTCTTAACAGAAATCAATACTATTGATCGGAAACTGATTTAACAATCGATTTATTGACCTTAAGTGCTTACCAAGAGCCATATATCAATATTTCGATTAATTGTGACACCCCTACTTTCCAATGATATGAATTATTGGACATCTAGATTTCAAACCATGACGCTTACTTGACTTCATGTGTCGTATTCGGGTGCTTCCATATTACGATTGATGTAGAAAAGTAGGAAACTTACAACACCAGCACTTTTATCCATTGCTAGGCAGTGACTAGATCTTTTGGATTTGTTGACTTCAGATGGTGATGGAAAGACAATCAACTCGAGTTGCATGTTATACAATTTGGTTACACTTTGTGAAGAAATAAGAACGTTGTAATACTTTTGATACAATGTATACGTCTTTGAAACCGTGACGTTATCACAGTGCGGCATTGAGCGGTATGCAAAGCCGGCGGACAGCAAGGCCGTCGGGTTAATAAACCCAATTCACTCACTCACAAAACTAAATAAGAGATCACGTGATGAAAGACTTACAACATATCTGACGTGCGTTGAGAAACCTGTTCACGTATTCAGGTATGGTGCAAGCCTTTAGATTATCAGTTAAACAACAGAGTTCGTCAAGGCTTCAACGTGTGCTGAACACATATATAACACAACGAGCGTGCAGCTATTTATGGAGGCTATAACAGTGTGTGGATGCTTTGAGAATTGGTTTAGATGTGTCTTCATTGGTATCAGTTGTTTGTACTGATGTATAGTATTTCTTTAAACTGTAGCATTGATTGAAGTCACCCTAAATATCACTTTAACATTACACAACTATATCCGGACAATACACTCGCTACCTCTCATATCCAAGATACAAATGAGGATATAATAATTTTTTTGACTTTTAAAAACTGCTTTAGTTCTACACCTGTCCTCGATGGCATCAGTTGTGTCTACTGTCAATTCTGGTATTTCTACAAGCTGTCACTGCAGTTTAATTCAGGGTATATGCGATAAATAATTTTCCTCAGGTTTTACCGACAACTAATATAAAGGCGGCGCAACTCCCTCACTAGTCCGGACGAAATGCTCCTGTAACCATTGGTCAAAAGCCCATCAATTCGCGGGTATGGTGAAAAATAATATTGTGATGAAAAGAATGTGGATATTACTGAGAAAAAACCTGGGTTCTCAATACCCTCATAATGCATAGTTGGAAGTTTCCGTGTCTCGGTATATTTTGTTTGAGCAATTATTTGTTTAATAACTCAACATATTACATAAGTAATCCAGCTAAATCAAGGATAAAATTTAATATGCGTGGTTCTTGGTCGAAATGTTTAGGGTCGTGATGGTTCCTGAACAGTTGTTTAACTCGTCGCAATCCTCGGTGAAGTGTCGTGTGCGTCCCTCACTTTACCTGATGTTCTCGTATTCGAAGATTTACAAACTGATCTTTTCCACTCTATATGTAGCGAAATGATTGTCCTTTATATCAAAGCGTCTTGAGAACGTAACAAGTCTGTGTGTGGTTCCTGAATAGTCAGTCTGATCCGTTACAGCCTTGCGTACTGCCTTTCTTTAGTAACTAAACGGTTTGTCGGACTTCCAGTGTTGATGCGGGTATAGTGCGAAAGGTTCTACTGTGTATCGTCGGATGTAGGGTCGCATGTCAGATAGCGGCCAACGTGCTGGTACCCGAGTGCAGGATTGCTTTCTGCAGTTCTGAGGTTCTGCTGTTGAAGTGGATGGGCTCATTATCTGTCGGGTATCGGTCAAAATAGGGAATTGCAACAAGTAAATGTATAATGCACATAAATTTTAATTCCTTCAATGGTGATGATATTGTTTTAAATATAAGGATGATGGCTCATCAGTTTTTAAAATGTTGCATATTGAAGAAGATATTTGAGTTTCAAAGCATATTATTTAATATCATAAACAGTCAAAGGTTTGGATTATAACAAAGTACTCACCGTTCTACAAGGATATTCATTATACCAAAATATTGCTTGAAAATCATTGGAAGTTATATTGTACTGACCCAGGAAGACTTGTCTCTCAGTATCCCCACCAATGGTGCCTTAGTTTTGGTACCTACCGATCTGTTGATTGACATAAGAGATTACCCGGATTTGCTGCCAGGAATACAGCCTCTCTGACAATCTGGGTAATGCAGAAGGCTGCAGAGTTGGGGAGTCTTCACATACTCCGAGAAGTTAAAGGTGAGTTCGACTGGGCAGCGCTTCCTGGGAGAAGTCCAATTCGCTGTCTGGGCTGCGTGTAGAGGGTGCGAGGGCACTGAGCAGATGATGAGCCTAACAAGCCTGACTATGCCAGGATCACTCAAACACCCTTTTTGCTGCATTTTTTATTTCAATCTGCTTAATAAGGAGGGAAAATTACTTTTAATTAGATTTGAACAGTTTTATGTTTTATGAAATGATTTAAAAAAATTATTACTATTATATTTTGTTTCATTCGGCAGTTGGTTTTCTCAGAACTGTGGTATCATATCTCTCGTCATGTACGAATTACTGTTCATATTTACATTCAAATTACAGTGGGAATTAGTATTTGAGATAAATGCCGGAATCAGAAAGCATGTACTATAACCGGGATCGTTGCATTGATTGTACATGTTTCAGGGGCGTTTCTATTATTAATATTTAACATCCAAACCAACATGTTATCATGGTAGGCAATGACCAGACAGATGTCACTGGCCACCACAATAGTGTCGTAAATAGTTGCTTTGAAACATGTTTATACCTGACGTCAACGGATCACGTGAGCTAAGTTATGTCACGTGACACGAGCCAGCAAGCAGGAAGTGGGACGCCTTCAGAGAGCAGGCGCCCCCATCGTAATATCGGTATGTCACGTATTTTGAAAACATTTCACGTACAAATATAGATTTTGAGTTGGCCAACAGTGCATTGCTGCGTTATCTATGTTATAATGTAAACCTGCTATTGACCACTGTTTCACTTGAAGATAGAAAGCTTGATATCGATGTATACCACAGGAGTCAACTGTGATTGCATCCATAAATTTCTGTATCGTTGATTAAGGATCAAATTCTAGAATACTACTGTTATCGACATAAACTAATAGCAGATAGGTAGACAAGGTTTTGCCTACATTTATCTGAGGTCATAGTGACCTGTTAAAACGAAAGTAGAAATGAGGTCGTCAGTAAACTTCTGTATGTGTCCCCAACCTAGATACATCCACCCCTTCCCCACTGCGCATATTAGCATACACGTGTCATCTAAGCTGCTTATGTAAGAGAACTGTTATGAATGGACGATAGGCTATCGTCCATGCCTATCGTACATTCATGACACTCAAAGGTGAGCTTCTCGGGTCAAGCGAGGCGTTGTAGTGATGGCCAAGTTTTGATCAGAGTTATGTCCCTTTGAACAACATCCACACATGCGTATGATATATCCTTATGTGTGTATGTGTAGAGAGGAGTACGCTGGATTATTAGCAAGTGAGCGAGTAATTAAGTAAGTGAGTGAGTGAGTGAGTGAGTGAGTGAGTGAGTAAAGACACACATATTTGATATAGGAGCAAAAAAAACCATACAATTACTTACCTTGCAGAGTTAGCTGTGGAATGGACCAGTGTTTATGACACATGTCAAGGAGTTAAATGAAGACAATTCGATGTTCATGTTTTCACGTGGATTTTAGAAAATAAATACATTCCATACAAAATAATCCAAACACTGCCAGAGTGGCCAGTGACGCTGAAAGACAAAGAGTTAATATCTTACACAAATACCAATATATTCAGATCCATGCAACTCACATTTTGTTGTGATACGTACATTCTCTACTTAATATAACCTGTGATGTGTTTGTCAATGTCAGAATATAAATAAGCCACATTCAGCAATGCTCAAGCCTGGCGATCTGTAAATAGTCATGTCTCGGCCTAGAATGAGCAATAATTCCGACACAAATGGTGATACAAAGACAGAACAAAAATGAAAGATATATTTAATGAATATGGAAGTTCATATGAAAGAATATAATATTAAAAACGATAGTGTAATAAACAGCCACAGTGCGATAACGAAGACATTAACTTAACAAATGGTTCTGTAACAAAGAGTGTAATATTGATATTAATATTGATATTTCACAATGTGTTGATGTCACAGATATGAGATGGTTGTGGATCACTGGCTTGGTTAAATACATCCGACCAAATATTTCCATTATCAAAGAAATAAGTCCACTGTACAATCATGACTACATCATGAACATGCGTTTATAAATCACTGTCAAATAGTGATGACACCACGTGTTCGCTAAAATGTATGCGCATCCTAGTCCACCGGTGGCACCCATCACAAACACATGCACAGGCAATGTCCTCCAAATGTTTTAACATAAACGATGTTGAAAGCTTTACTGACGCCTTGGTTGTTGTAACTTGTATCAAACAACTTTTGAGGAAGATTAGTACGAAGCTCTTTGAAATATTCTTTGAAAGAGCATGTTCGATCTGAAAAAGTTGTGAAATCAAATGTAGACACCGAAGGCTGGATCCGGTTGACTGTTGCACAACATAAAGGGAAGGATGACTACTGGAGAGTCATCCCTCTTGTCATACAGTCTTGTGGAGATTTTGTGTCACTGGGAACAACTACAATATTATCATATAAGTAGTTAATACATGTATTCTTGGCATTTCTTAAATCAAACAGTTTTACTTTACAGAGGACGGTGCGCATATAATTAACGCCAATTTTTGACAACTTGATGTGACAAAGTTGCGGAGTGACAGGCAACAAGGAAGTCAAGGTATTGAAGAACGTGTGGTGTTCGAGGTAGGTGCGAGGGGTCTCTCAAACTTGATTTGCCTTTCACTTCAAGACGCTGAAACATCACTGTGTTTGTTGAAATTGTCCCAAAACGGAAACGACAGCTGATCATGATTTCAAAACATGGTATTCATTCCTCATATTGCTCAGGGTAGAGTATGGTAACAAGAGTTACCCCCCTTTACACACAGCAGCACCACATATATACAATGCAGTGGGGCGTCTTCTTTTCTCTCCCGTCTCACTGCCTTGTAAAGATGTTACTTACTGGATGTCGGGGTTGATGCAGTCATCTAATGTTTTATGATTATGTCAACAGCACATGCATCTATACTTCATTTAGCTTCAGATGGCGACCGCTAAGAAGCTGACAGAGAACCACCTCTCCTGTGCCATCTGTACAGAGGTGTTCACAGACCCTGCCACGCTTCACTGTCATCATACATTCTGCAAGTCCTGTCTGCTGAAATACACCTATACACAGCCGGAAGCAGTACAAGCCAAGTCCATCCGATGTCCCTCCTGTAGACAACAGACGAAAGTGACCAACCCTGACAGTCCAGTTGAGGAGTGGGTCAGTCAGCTGAAACCAAGCCACGTCATACAGGGCCTGATGGACGACTTTGGACCCGACACAAGGGGTAATCAGCTTATTATTGTACTGCCTGACTAATAAACCTTGGTTTGGGATATATAAACACAACCATACGCGAACTTAAACAAGCATTCGCTAATAAGAATGGCTTATTATGTCTTCATGTTAATAGATTTTGATGCAGGATAAGTATTCATTTCCCACAAAGACAAACACATTACAGCCTGACCCACCAATGAAATCTAATGTAACTCAAATATATAGTGCCATAACTAAATAGAATTACATAAAAGTATTTACCAACCCCTTCCAACTCGTCATTCCTTTTAGATGTTGTTTACAAGCTAGTAAATAATTGTTATGATATTTATCTGTGGACTTGATCTCAGTTGCATCTTACTGCCAAGGCTGTGCCACGAATTGAACACCTGACCCTCCATTGTGACAAATCATGGATAACGATTATAAATAACTTATGGTTAAAATTTATGTCATTATGGAATCCCAACTGAAATTATGCTATTTCATCTGTAGTGTGTAATGTACATCTGTATTTTGTTCAAGGCAGCAAATAATACTCTTCTGGTTCTGATTTACAGCAGTAGCTCAGGAAAATACATACAACTTGTTAACACGCTCCTTCCAAATGGTCATTCCTTTCAGATGTTGTTTACAAGCTAGAAAATAATTGTTAAAATATTAACTTTATCTGTGGAGTTGATCTTACTTGCACGTACACCAGAAGCAAAATTAGTTTTTTCAATAATTTTCTTGGACAATGTATTTTTTCAATACGATCCCAGGTGTTGAGCCTTATAATTATATTAAGGTGTTGGTTGCAGAAAACAAGGACATTCTTGGTCTAATGATATAGTGTCTGCCCGGAGAGCGGTAGATCGGTGTTCTGTTGAATCCTGCAAGGGACATTGTCGCATTGTCGCATTACAAAAACAAGCAAAAAGTGTCAAAATTATATAAAGCGCGACAATGCGACATTTTGCCATTTGTCGCATTGCGACAACGTGAGATTTTTCTGGGTCAAAATATGTCGTATTGTCGCCCCATGACAAATGTGTATATAAGTCGTAAATGTACGCGACAGCGTGACAATGCGACATACGACATATTGATAATGTCTCATTGTCGCCCTTTTCGAATAATGGTGCGCATATGTTGTAATCGAATTGATCTCCATATGCACCAAACTGGTTATACTCTTTTTTAAACTCCATGTATAGGTTGTTTTTCTCGAATTAAAACAAATCCTTATAAATTAGTTCATATATCGTTATTGTCCCTGTCGGTTTTCATAAACCAAACGTGTTTTCACAGCAAGAAACAAACACCTTGTATTTCTATTTAATTAAATCCGGTCTCTGACATCTTTTCAAAAAGATGACGGTTGGCACTGTTGTTTTAGACGGCACACTGCGCTGTGCAGAGTTGAACACTTGACCCGCCAGAGTGACAAAGCACATCTGTTGAGCGTTCTGTCATTGAGGACTCCCAGCATAAATGGCGTTATAACACCTCTTCTGCTTATCATTTACATAAGCTCATTTTTTACCAGGGATTCCTACATTGTGTTCAACAGCAAAATTGTTTCTTTACAACATGTGATATATAATATATTAACCTACAAAATGGATGTGTACATTCTGAAAAAAATAACGTGTTTATTATATTGTTAGATAGTGTCCGATCCTTATCATGTTTAATGACATTTGAAATAAAGCCCATTTGCCTTTTCAGCTGTGGAGGAACACTTGTGCAGTGTTTGTACAAAACAAGGAAAGACAACTCCTGCCACAATTTGGTGCTCTGTCTGCGATGTTGTGTTCTGTGAAGGATGTCTTCAGCTGCACAACATGATGCCAGGGTTGTGTGACCATGAAGTCGCTCACTTGTCTGATCACACCAAAACAAAGGTCAAGCGTCGCTTCATGTGTAAAGTCCACAGAGACGAAAAGGTGAAATTGTTCTGTAAGGACTGCAAGCAGGCAATATGCACGATATGCTGCAGTATAAAACACAGGACATGTAAGGATGTTGATACAATAGAGAGCACCATCCCTCTTGTGAAGGAACAACTGACATGCAAAATAGAGAAACTCGGAATCAACATTGCAGCTACGAATAATATCATAACCCAGAGAAAATCTACAATTCAGGATGTGAAGAATAATTCACAAACCCTCAAAGATCAAGTCATAAAGACACGGGAGACAGTGATGCGTGCTATTTTAAGAAAAGAGAAGCAACTCCTTGGAGACATCGACAAAGCTACTGATGAACAATTACATGAGTTACAAGCAGATATAAAATCCCAGAAGATCGAGCTACAGATGTACCAGCAGCAGTATGAGTTCACATCCAATGCTGTGACGTCCAACTGTGAGGTGGACATGTACGCCATTTATGAGTCGATGGGTGCAACGTCTACAGACAACAGAGACACGGGCTACAGACCAGCAGCAGGAAGGGTTGTATTCACACACGACCTGGACAAGCTGAGTAAAGCAGTTGATGAGCTACAGCTGGGGGAGGTTGAAGTCATCCATGATGTGAGTGACCCCGAGTCTTCTCCTGTTCTATATCACACCATTGATTGCAAGGAAGATGGGGACGGGGAGGATCCTTGGTTGGTTGACGTCACAGTGTTGACTGTTGGTGACATCAAAGTGACGGTAGTGGCAGATTATTATAACACCAGTCTCGAAACATATTACACATCAAACCTCCAATCCTTTCATAATCAGCTACTGCTTTCTGATAGTCCTTTTCAAATAGCCAAGTTATGTGAGAGTCAGATATTTGTCAGTGTTCCAGACAGTAAGGAAATAGTCACAGTGAATGTAACCCCAAGTCCTGTATTACTGTCAACTATCAAAACAAGCAAGGATTACTACGCTCTGGCCTTTCTGAGTCCTTCACAGCTGGCGGCAGGTACATATAGACAGTCTCACTCTGTTGACATACTGGACATGACAGGGAGGATACTGAGGTCTATCAACACGGGGGTGATAGGGAGTCCAGACTACATCCATGTCACCAGAAACAACAACTTGATAGTCAGTGAAAGAGAAGTAAAATCCCTTGTGTGTGTGACCAGTGAAGGGGACGCTGTTTTCACACACACTCCCACGGGAGACAGAGCTCTGACACACCCTCGGGGTATCACAACAACCAGCACAGGAGATATCCTGCTTGTAGACTATGACTCCGACAAGGTGATTCAGCTGACAGAGTCGGGGCAGTTTGTCAGAGATGTCCTCACACAACAGGATGGCCTGATAGACCCTTGTGGTGTCTCTCTTGATGGTGACGGCCTGCTGTATGTTACATCTGACAGATATGTAAAAGTATTCAAATTTTACCGGCGCTGAATTTTAAAATAGAGATAATTTTCATCTCCATACACAGTTGAAGATATTCAAAATTGACAACAGCTTAAAGTCCAGATCGGCTCTTGTTCATTCCCTGCAAACGTAATTCCCCATGTCAGTGATTAAACATAGGGCGATCTTTCACGTATGGACCTGATTTGTGATGTACGTTTGTATGAAACGCACAGTGACAGGGTTCGTCCCGATTATGTTTCTAGGTTTGTCAGCACCATACCCGTGCTTCTGGGTTTCACCAATAAGGGTTAAAAGTCTGAGACCTGCATCACTTCGGGCTTTCCTTCCATATTAAGCTGCCACGCCGTGATATAACTGGAATACTGTTTGAAGCGGCACTGTTTGACCTCGCGTGTTGTGACGTGGATGACGTCACGAGAAACAGCTGATCTTATGTTGTAGCAGTATAACGGATACACGTGGTTTCAGTTCCGAAATAACAATATTCTCTTTGACTGAACTAGCAGGTATATCTTGTGCATCACGATTGGAACTTTTCTATGGCGACCGACGAGTGAATGAGACCGCTTATCACTTGACTTACACTGTTAGAATATTTGGCGCGGTTTTCTAATTTTGGTGTGTTGACTTACGTGCTTTTCTGATCTGTTTGAAGGCTTGATATTCAAATTAAATAATGTGCATATAGTTGAGTAAGGGAATGGAATTTTCACAGTGAGAAAGCCGTCAAAATGGATCCAATATTAAAGAACCTAGCTTTTTAATATTGTAGCTTCATCTATTAGAATATTGAATGGTTCAGTTTATGACACCAACAGTAGTGGTAATAGATCTACACGCAATATATAGATAATCGATTTCTGAAGGACAAAATGCTTTCAGTCGTAATGTGATTTCGTTTTGATGTTTTAAATAGTTTTATTTATGTTTTTTTCACTCTGCATTATCAAAATTATCAAATACTTCGATCAGTGACATAGCAGTCAATACTTTGTTTTGTATCCTTAGTAAGAATTGTTTTTTTAAATATTTGTCTAAGAGCAAAATGAATGCATTCTTGTTCTTTCTTACAATTTTAAGTTGTATATCGTCACTCCAAGCTTTAGTTTAGGTAGGCCAAAAGAAAAAAGAGGAAACCATAATAACTGAAAACCGATTATATGAAAGATTTTGCTGGTTATATTTTGAAAGTTCAATACCAAGAATATATTTTTCCTTTCATGGCAAATAATTCCATTTCTTTCATTGACCTACGACCAATATCTATTTCAAACTTTTCCTTCAGTAGAATGGGATGAAATGGGAATTAATCTATCACGCATGCCCTTGAATGTGTAAATACACTTCTAAGGTCTAAACAATATGAAAGAAAAAATTGTATTTCATGGACTGGCCATACAAGTTTATTTTGAGCAAAGGTCTAAGTAAGGCAGCCAAGTGCGAAGTACAAGCTGAGACGAGGGTGTATGTTTTCTTGTGGTCATAGTGAAACAAATTTGTTCAGAGTTTTGAGCAAATCAACTGTATGAACATTGAACACTACTTTAATCGAAGTAATTCATATATTCGTAATTTTCTCTTTCACTTAATCTAGACATTATTTATAATTATACCGTAAAACAATAATATTGCCATCTTTCACTTGAGCAAGTTATCGTTTCCTTGTATTAAATATAGACTCTTAGTGAATGTGTATTTCGCCATGAATGTCATGTGTCTATCAGCGTTATCATGTACTTTCCAAAAAGGGTGACTATTGGTCTGGAAATCACTATTGCGATAACTATTGATATTGCAAGCAACAATTGCGATAAGTATCGAGAATTTTTCGTGTATTATTTTAGATGGACTTTAGAGTTGAATTAAACCTTGGAACTTAAGTTTCCTTTGAATGTTATAACCATAACAACAAATAAAAAGTTAAGTTTGAGATATGACTGATTTGTTTTTTCTTTACCCTAATAATGTAAGAAAAAGAAAAACAAATTTGAACAGCATTGCATGTATTTTATTGATATGGTAAATACGATCGAAACTATCTCTATTCCTAACAGAAATCAATACTATTGATCGGAAACTGATTTAACAATCGATTTATTGACCTTAAGTGCTTACCAAGAGCCATATATCAATATTTCGACTAATTGTGACACCCCTACTTTCCAATGATATGAATTATTGGACATCTAGATTTCAAACCATGACGCTTACTTGACTTGAGTTGCATGTTATACAATTTGGTTACACTTTGTGAAGAAATAAGAACGTTGTAACACTTTTGATACAATGTATACGTCTTTGAAACCGCGACGTTATCACAGTGCGGCATTGAGCGGTATGCAAAGCCGGCGGACAGCAAGGCCGTCGGGTTAATAAACCCAATTCACTCACTCACAAAACTAAATAAGAGATCACGTGATGAAAGACTTACAACATATCTGACGTGCGTTGAGAAACCTGTTCACGTATTCAGGTATGGTGCAAGCCTTTAGATTATCAGTTAAACAACAGAGCTCGTCAAGGCTTCAACGTGTGCTGAACACATATATAACACAACGAGCGTGCAGCTATTTATGGAGGCTATAACAGTGTGTGGATGCTTTGAGAATTGGTTTAGATGTGTCTTCATTGGTATCAGTTGTTTGTACTGATGTATAGTATTTCTTTAAACTGTAGCATTGATTGAAGTCACCCTAAATATCACTTTAACATTACACAACTCTATCCGGACAATACACTCGCTACTTCTCATATCCAAGATACAAATGAGGATATAATAAAACTGCTTTAGTTCTACACCTGTCCTCGATGGCATCAGTTGTGTCTACTGTCAATTCTGGTATTTCTACAAGCTGTCACCGCAGTTTAAATCAGGGTATATGCGATAAATAATTTTCCTCAGGTTTTACCGACAACTAATATAAAGGCGGCGCAACTCCCTCACTAGTCCGGACGAAGTGCTCCTGTAGCCATTGGTCAAAAGCCCATCAATTCGCGGGTATGGTGAAAAATAATATTGTGATGAAAAGAATGTGGATATTACTGAGAAAAAAACTGGGTTCTCAATACCCTCATAATGCATAGTCGGAAGTTTCCGTGTCTCGGTATATTTTGTTTGAGCAATTATTTGTTTAATAACTCAACATATTACATAAGTAATCCAGCTAAATCAAGAATAAAATTCAATATGCGTGGTTCTTGGTCGAAATGTTTAGGGTCGTGATGGTTCCTGAACAGTTGTTTAACTCGTCGCAATCCTCGGTGAAGTGTCGCGTGCGTCCCTCACTTTACCTGATGTTCTCGTATTCGAAGATTTACAAACTCATCTTTTCCACTCTATATGTAGCGAAATGAATGTCCTTTATATCAAAGCGTCTTGAGAACGTAACAAGTCTGTGTGTGGTTACTGATAGTCAGTCTGATCCGTTACAGACTTGCGTACTGCCTTTCTTTAGTAACTAAACGGTTTGTCGGACTTCCAGTGTTGATGCGGGTGCAGTGCAAAAGGTTCTACAGTGTATCGTCGGATGTAGGGTCGCATGTCTGATAGCGGCCAACGAGCTGGTAACCGAGTGCAGGCTTGCTTTCTGCAGTTCTGAGGTTCTGCTGTTGACGTGGATGGGCTCATTATCTGTCGGGTATCGGTCAAAATAGGGAATTGCAACAAGTAAATGTATAATGCACATAAATTTTAATTCCTTCAATGGTGATGATATTGTTTAAATATAAGGATGATGGTTCATCAGTTTCAAAATGTTGCATATTTAAGAAGATTTTTGAGTTTCAAAGCATATCATTTAATATCATAAACAGTCAAAGGTTCGGAAGAATGTCATTTGATTACAACAAACTACTCACCGTTCTACAAGGATATTCATTATACCAAAAGATTGCTTCAAAATCATTGTAAGTCATATTGTATTGACCAGGAAGGCGTGTCTCTCAGTATCCCCACTATGATATAAGTAGTAGCCTGCAACCTCGGGGTATCGCGGTACTTGTCATGTACGCTAAACGGAACAAAATGCACTCACTAACCTTTATGTTTATTCGTGTTCTCTGTATCAGATATCATTCATGTTATCAAACAATGCATATTTTACTTATAAAAGTTCATTATTTACATCAGTAGCTCCGAGTAAAAGCCGGGCCTCGCGCTCAGTTTGACAAGGGAGAGAACTCCATCGTATCGCGGTACAGAGAAAAGTTGTGTATGGAGATCCGAATTGGACAAAAAGAGGACATAATTCTACCAACCACTTGGTATGATCATGCCAGACATCAGTGATTTGTACAGACAAGTGCAAAGAAAGCACAAGTAAAATTCTAAATGTGTTATCAGCAATAGGTATTCAATGCATATTTACCGAAATGTAAGAGAAAAATATTTTTATAAGTCAACATCAAAATATCAGAAATGATATTTTAAGATTGTTTAAAAAAAATTGGATGACAATAATTTGTCACAAAATTGAAAAATGTTAAAAGTCAACAATAAATATATAAAGAGCACTCCTAGTATGCCCAAAGTATGTATTTATCTTTTGGTTACTAGTGAAGAACGTATTTCTAAGTTTGGCATTATGGCCCTTATGATCTCCCAATAGATTCTGGGCACAGAGCGGGAAAAAATGTGCGGACTACGTAACTTCCGTTACCTCATTAGTCGTCATGAATATGCAGATGATCTAGTTCAGGTTGATAGAGAAAGTTTACTTGGGGAACTGCGGGTTATATCGTTGGCCATTGATAGATGAGGGTAAGGCATTATTACAACAGATGCCAGAAATATGTATCAACGGATTAATAACTCCTTACTTACAGCAAAATGTCACATTCCGAGGAAATTGAAATTGTTTACGAAGTGAGCACTTCCTGGTTACTGATTAGCATTAATAGACAGCCGCTAAGAGGCGTGTCCCGCGTGAACTACCGGAAATCACAAATGCCGCGATACGATGAATGCCGCGGTACCATGGGGTCCGAGTATATATATTGGTGAATACCGTCCTTGATCAGGACAATCGTCATCATCAATTACCTGTAGCATTCAGTCAGTCTATATTGATAACAAGCCATAATACGGATTGGCAGCATTTATTCCAAAAGGGATGGCAGACATGTAAATAGGCCAACATGATTTTGTTTCATTTGTTTGTATTTTGCTTGAGATTAAGAGAAACCGAGGTCCATAACCGCCAGGAAACAATCAACAAGGTCACCAGCATGATCGCCCAATCCATTCAGTCCTTTATGATAAGCATAGGTTGCTGAGGACCAATTCTAGCGCGGAATCCCGACGTGGTAGTAACTAACAGTGAATGTGAATATGATATTCTGAGTGAGTGAGTGAGTGAGTGAGTGAGTATGGTTTTACGCCGCTTTTAGCAATATTCCAGCAATATCACGGCGGGGGACACCAGAAAAGGGCTTCACACATTGTACCCATGTCGGGAATCGAACCCGGGTCTTCGGCGTGACGAGCGAACGCTTTAACCACTAGGCTACCCGACCGCCCCTTATGATATTCTGAATCATTGCTGGATTGTATCGTAATCTTGTGAAGGTGTGAAGGTAATGATACATGTATATCTTAATAGGTTCAACATAAATAACTTCACTTGACCAAAGCTCATAAAACTAATATTGGGGCTGTTTTGGAAAGGTTCACTTCACTACCCAACTTAGAATTATTCAGTAAAAAGGGTTTGAAAACAAATCTGTATGTGAATTCTTTTGTATGTGTATCAATCTTGAATTTTACCTTCAAGGCTTCACTTAGAAAGCTATACATTTTCTTTCTTGTACTTATATATGTACAAATATTTAATAAACAATAACTAAACAGCACATTGTTCGTTTTGAGACGTGACACTTCTGAATGAATTGTTGATCGTTGACATGATTTGCAAATAGTAATTACATACACATTTGACTTGAAAAAATATTATGTAAAACACGGGGGAAAAGCTGAAGACTAATCTATAAACATCTGATGGCGAAGGTGAATTTCATCAGTTACCCCATGGTACCCGGTACCACCTTGTCAAGTGACAGCAGAAGCAGCGCAATTACCGTCTTGAGTGAAAGACGCGAAGCTGAAAAAAATCCAAAACATTGTTATTCTAACCATCTGATAGTCGGCGTTGAAATAAATACTTTATACCAACCGTTTCATTGTCAATGAGCGTAACAAGAAATGTTGTTTTTCAAACCAATTGAATGTTCGCGTGCGAGAGCACTGGCATAACTTATTTTAACCAATATCCGCTTCCGAAGACTATACAGACAAGAGGGTGGCTCCGTGGTCGAGTAGATAAAGTGTCTGTCCGGAAGAAACAAGATCGGTGTCCGTTTCCCGGCCTGACGTTAAAAGATACTAGCCTTCCTGGCTTTAAATATTTGCTGCGGGGAACCTTGAAAGATTTGATTTCTAAATGTTTGTCGAAGGATTTTGAAGACATGTACCCCAAAGAAAGTGAAAATTTTGAATCTAATACGGCCGCCATGCCAAGTTAGTTTGGACATGCAACCACGAACCAAACATATGAAACATATGGCATCAAAACTTCATGTAAATGGTCAAAAGTTTCTAAATTGAGCCTAACAAGATATGATTTTAAAGTAAAGTTTATGAGAAAAAGTCAATCGTAAGTGAAATCTAATATGGTTGCAACAAAATATTATCTTTAAAAAACGACTGACTAGTTTGATGTATTAAGTATGGAGACAATTCTTAGTCAGTTTGAAAGCATTTGTCTTGAATGTCAGAAGTATGGTTTTGAAAAAAATACCCAAAATGAAGTTAAATGCCCTCTGAAATTCTTGAAACAAATCATTTCCATATTCATAAGAAATCTCTGCAGAGTCGTTTGCAAGATCCTGACTATATGATGAACATGTGTTTGTGAATCCCTCTCAAATTGTAATGATACCAGATGTTCACGAAAACGTTTAGGGCGAAACCTTAATTATGAAAGAGCATACGTCTTAACTACAAAGCCTATAGCACATTGCACTATTGCCCCGACAAACGGATGAGTGTGAATTTCAATTTCAATCCCATCTCCGTGACTCGTCACTATATGGCTGAACTATTGCCGATGTAACGTTAAATCTTAACTCACTCACCCATCTCCGTGGGTGGTATACAACCCAAGATGTCGATGAGAGGTCCTAGGTTACCCATCCCAGGAGACCAGAGCCAAGTATCCAACACGTGCCAAAGAAGACACCACATGTAGCAAGATGAATCATTGTGCACCGAAGCCCTAGAAAAGCTCCGGTTGAAAATGAACTCCAAATATCCTGTGTTGTTACTGCAGTTCAATCAAGCGGTCATACACCGTACACTGGTTGTCTTGTTGGTTCACAACGGGTTTCACTGAGACATTAAACACATCAACAGAAGCCGACTGTGACACCAAATCGTAGGTTACGTCAATGTGCGAATGCCAGGAATAAAACTTGGTGTCATGTAGTATTATCTTGGGCATTCTGCTATTGATGAGTAATTATGAATGATGTCTTTACAAAGTCTATTCTGATGTGAATTATATATTTTTTGATTTGTTAAATGATGTTAAACATCGGTGCATATTCTGTAAAATGTGCTACATTAACAAAAAGCAGACACACCCTGAAATATAGCGCAATAAATTGTAATTGAAACATACCAAAGATTGGTCAATTGTAGCATCATTATTTTTCGTAAGTAACATGAAAAACGCAGCATCGCACCAAATCACCCAATTTGCAACATACCAACATTAAGACATCAAACAACAAGGAAAAGACTTATATCGTGTCCAGTTGAGCAGATAATGGACTGTGCCAAATTTACAACTGCTCTGAATCTAATTTTAGCATATAATTATGTCATTACAGATACTGATCCGACTGATTATTAATACATATATATATATATATATATATATATATATATATGTGTATGTGTGTGTATGTATGTGTGTGTGTATGTGTGTGTATGTATGTGTGTGTATATGTGTGTGTGCATGTATGTGTGTGTATGTATGTGCGTGTATGTATGTGTGTGTATATGTGTGTATGTATGTTTGTGTGCATATGTGTGTGTATATGTGTGTGTGTGTGTGTGTGTGTGTGTGTGTGTGTGTGTGTGTGTGTGTGTGTGTGTGTGTGTGTGTGTGTGTGTGTGTGTGTGTGCACAAAAGGACGAAACTAAAATGGGACAAACCCATCCTGTCCCAGCCAGCTGTGATCCAAAGTCTGACTGACCTACATGAGAGGTTTGTAGTTGTTTCCACCGACAAGGCCTCAAATAACATAACCGTTATATGTAAGCATCACTACATTGATGGTTTGATCGAACAACTTTGCATAAGATGACCATAGATACAGTCGCATATCTATCTTCATAGATTCAGGTCAAATTGTCAAATTTGTGAGCAAATGCCATTTGAAGTTCAGAAAAGCTGGACTTCCTCATTGATAACATCAATGTCACATTTGGGAGTAAGATATTTGGGCAATAAGTAGGTGTACCAATGGGCACCAGTTGCGCTCCTTCTTTTACTGATCTGTTTCTTTATGCAAATGAATAAGAATTTCAGCTCGGATTGGCAAAATCAAAACAAGGGAACTTGGCCAAGAAATTTATCTTAAGCCTTAGATATATCGATGATCTGATATCGTTAAATAACCATCAACTAGCCTATTCCCTTTCACTCATTGACCTATCTGAACTAGAAATAAAAGCGACCACTGAGGCCGCCTCATCTGTTTCATATCTGGATCTATGCATGAAGATTCAGAGTGACAAAACACTTCCCTCAAGACTGTATGGCAAGTGGGATGACTTCAACTTTCCAATAGTCAACTTTCCCTTTATGTCTAGCAATATCCATGCAGCTCAAGCCCTTGGTGTCGACATTTCGCAACTTTTGTGGGTACGATCCAGAATGTTCCTTCTACAACACTTGCTCAGAAGATGTTTGATCAGGGTAACAACAATCAAGGCCTCAGTAAATCTTTCAAAACGTTTTATGGAAGACATGTGGAGGACAAATTTGACGCATCAGTGACAAAAATTAAGTCCGATGCAATTCCCTATTTTGACTTGTACCATACATTCCCGTGCTTTTTCAGGTGAACCACTGACTTGCCTTTGTATGTGTTAATAACGGTAGCCACCGATCGGGTAGGATATGCTCACCTTTTCGCGAACACCTATAGTATCATCACTATTTGATTGTGATTCGTAAACACTTGTTCATGATATCGTACAATCGACTCTGTTTTGGGCAAAGATTTCACATGAATATGGATAGGATTTTGTCTTTTTTAGACAAAATCCATACCTGGCCACAGGAGACAGAGAGATACGCCCTAAAACAGTGTTGGAGTAACAACTCAAATAACAATGTCAATATCTGGTGTGGCAACAGGCGAGGCAACAGTGGCACTTTGATAACACCAGATAAGTGAAAACAGCATGATTGAACCAACTGAGCTAGCGTAAGCGTAGCATATCAAATTAGACATGTTCTGTGGGAGAGAGGTCTGGAGAAACTGCCGGCCATGACAGTACAGCAATGTCATGCTGCCTCTAAAAGTCTTTAACAACATGTGCGACGTGTAGGCGGATATTATCCTGCTGTAACCTGACGTTACGTCCAAGCATTTGCACAAAGGGTACAGCAAGATCTCGAACGATGTCGTCCCGAAAGTGTACGGACTTCCACTTGCCACATGCCATTAACAATGTGTTTTCTCATGAGCTGTGATCCAACCCCATACTATTACACTTTCCGAAAAAAACTGACGGCGTTGAGTAACAAAAGCGATGCTTAAATGTTCTCCTGGACGCCAGGACCCTTGCACGACCCTCTTCTGAACCTCAGTTGCTGTCTACACCAAGATAGGCGTTCCAGACGCGGACAAGGAAGCAAATCAGTGGACGTCGGAGCTTCCATGTTATGCTCACTCAACCCGTTGTGTATGGTTCTGCCAATTGGTCTCAGGTTATTGTCCGAGTTCTTAATGTGGCAGTTTGGTATCGATCCCGTACATCAACAATCGAATATGGTTGTCTTATTCACGTGACGTCACACGTGGACAACCGGCCAGTGGCAAGTCATTGGTGTTGCCCTTCTGTAGATAACATCTCGGAAGAGATGATATTGTGTTTCGATGAACATGAACATGTTTTGCGCAATTCCTGTTTGCAGCATACCCACAACGCCTAGAGGTTGATTTTCAACAAGCCGTGGCATTGTGTCATCGTTTTTCACGGATAAGCTAAAGCTGACAGCTGTTCACATTCAGAACCCACGTGAATTCGTATCATGCTCCCAAGAAACACGCAAACATCCAAATTATGCGCTGTGCTTTAACATGCATGTTGCAAACAACATTAAAGTCGATCTTAAAGTTGTGTTTGTTCTTTATCGCCGCACTCAGCAATAATCCAGCTGTATGAAGGCGGTCTGTAAATAATCGAGTCTGGACCAGACAAGCCAGTGATTGACATCATGAGGATCGATCACCGAATTGTGATCGATGACATGCATCAACCAATTCAGCGAGCCTTATCACCCGATCCCGTTATAGTCGCCTTTTACGACAAGCATAGTCCCCTTTTACAGCAAGCATGGGTTGCTGAAGATATATTCCACCCTGGATCTTCCAGGGTCGACCATAAAGTCATGTCTTCAAGAATGTGTATTTGATAGATGTATTATTTCATTTTTAGAATATATATATTTTTATAGAACCCTATTTATTGATTATGCTTACATATTTTTTGGTGTGTACGTGTATATTTAATTTGAAGTATATGTTGCAGAGTTTTTGTTGTGACGGTCTACAATGTATCCTCTGTGGATATGCCGATCCATCTTAAATTCGAACACCCCAGGTAACATATATGTGAAGCACAGTTATATTTTCGATTTGTATGTTTAACATTTTTTTAGAAGGAGGTGGGATAATATTTACCTTTGGCTCCAGACACTGGTGGCAGTTTGAAATCTGTGTAATCACCACAGACAGGGAATCCTTGAGGAGGCTTGGGATGTTTGGAGAAGGATTCATTGACAGCCATGGCCATTCCGTTAGTGTTATGGAGGTCAATGTGGCAGTGGAGAAACCAGACACCAGGGTTGTCAGCCTTGAATCGTGTAATGACGTAGCCTCCACTTGGGACAATCATTGTGTCCTTCAGGGGAGGGATACGCTTTGTTGAGGACTGTTGAGAGTATATTTGTCTCTTCTGTCTCCCTCTCCATTTAGCAACATTGCAGTAGTCGTCCTCACACTCAACATTGTCATTGTCCGCCAGATACTTTCCAGTGGTTGTATCATACTGAGGGAACCCGTACGCCAAGACGTAGACTGAATGACCATGAATGTGAATCGGATGAGACCAACCTCTGCCCTTACCCATGTTAAAGAAGATCAGCTCCACGATATCACCTTCACTGATATCTATAGTATACATGCAGCTACATATTTTGTCAGCCCCACATTTGTCTCCAAGGTCTGAACACGCAGAATGGACTCTGGAAGGTTGAGTTAACGCTGATACTTTAGGGGATACAAACTGTCGCCCATTTACAGACCCAGGAGTGTTTCCTGGTTCTCCGGGAAAGGCGAAGTTCAGGAAGAACTGTTTGACCTGTTTCGCCTTCAGGATTTCATCTCTATCCTTGTCGTCTTCCGTCCCAGAAGCGTAGTTGTATGTGGTGCAGTTGCGATATTGCCCTGCAGGGTAGTATCTATATGGACAGTTAAATATTAGACATGGCTGAATCGCACTGCATGTTCTCTCATTTGATATCAGTGCATTGTTACTTGAGTCATTTACATCACGTACATAGCTAAGAATAGCCTCTGCAATATGCATGCTGGTTTTGTTGACCTCCAAAGACTCTGCCACAATCATGTAATCTCCTATTTCTTGATTAGTTTCCAAGTAGAAGTCATACCGCTCACCAGTCTGAATAACAAAGGAGTCCACGGGCATAGGTTTCAGACCTCTTCCATCAGAAGCAATTATAGTGATGGGATGACCAGCCACATAGACTCGGAAGGGATAGAGAGTTGCTGCACTGATCACTCTAAAGCGATATGTCTCATTTGCAACTACTTCAAATCTTGTAAGAGGTGCCCCATTATGTTCCTGTGGACCAGATCCATAATGGTATCGACCTCTCCCATTGATCAGTCCACTATGCAATTCAAATCGGCTAAACAGCGCTCCATCAAGAGTTTGTGTTTCTTTATACCTTTCACAAATTGTCGACTTTTCATCACAATTATAAATACCATGTATCATTTTCTGGTAGGCTGTTTCTGGATCCATGTCATGGTTCCAGTCCTGGATAATGATGATGTGTTTGTCGATAATATTTGGTTGCAACTCTCGCTTCTTGACAATCAGAGGACCATAGAGCCCCATGCTTCTTTGATCCCCAATATGAGCGTGATACCAGTGTGTACCAGCTGGTGAAGCCTTGAACTTGTAAGTGAATGTTGACCCAGGCAGAATAGGGCACTGGGTAATGTAGGCCACCCCGTCCATCCAGGGAGTTTTCCTCTGATGTATGCCATGCAAGTGGACCGTGATACTATCTGTGTGGAGCTCGTTGGTTACCGACAACTCAACATTCTGATCTTCCATGATGAGCTCTGGACCAGGGAATGTTCCGTTGACGCTGATGACAAGTCTGGCGTAGACTCCATCAGTTGTAAGAACACTGTTCAGTACCGCTGGGTCACGAATAGGTTTTGTTTCATCATAGTAACGAAGACCTCCATTTGTAGGCATGACTCGCCTGGACCCATCCATCATGGTAAGTCGGGGTTCAACTGGCAGCTGGATCTTGCAGGGGTCATCATTTTCACCACACTCAAATGTTCTTGCTCCAAATGCCATCATAAGAAGGATGAATACACTGACAATGTTGGCCATTCTGATAGACGTAGAAACCTGAAATAAAGAGTTGAGGTATGAATAATGTGTAATGTCATTGCAACTTTACAATACAAAGGACAATTAGGATCTTTCGATTGTTTCAGGAACAAACAATTTTACAGTAAAGAGTGCTGTTATCATTGCAGGATATTCACAGGTTACACATTCAGAGAACAAATTATATAATGACTATCTCAAAGTAACTTCAAATTTGTTCCAAAACCTCTCTGTCTTCCTCTTTCACTGACGTTTCAACCTACTGGTTATTATTGTAAATATCAATATTGGAGATATTTTCCTGTGTAAATAAAGCAACAAAACCCTTTACATATATAATAGAAATCTCTGCATAAAGCAGAGTCGATGGTACGATTCCGACTATTTCATGAGCATGTGTTTATGAATCACTATGACATAGTGATGATACCAGGTGTTCGCGAATAGGTGAGTGTATCCTGCCCTACCTGTTGCACCAATCATAAACACATGCAAAGGAATTCAGTTGTTCGCCTGAAAGAACACGGGAACATTTGACACAAGTAAAAATAGGGAATTGTATCAGACATCATTTTTGTTATTGATGCGTCGAATTTGGAAATGTCCTCCACATGTCTACAAAAAACGTTTTGAAAGCTTTACTGAGGCCTTGAATGTTGTAACCTTGATCAAGCAACAAGAGTCGTATGACGCTCTTAGATATCTTGGTAGAAGGAGCACGCTCGATTGTGTCTCAAAAGTTGTGAAATGTAAACACCAAAGGCTGGAGCTGCTGGAATATTACACGACATAAGGGAAAATTGACTTTTGGAAAGTTGAAGTCATCCCTCTTGTCATTAAGTCTTGTGGAGAGTGTTTTGTCACTCTGAATCTTTATGCATCGATCTACATATGAAACAGATGAGGCGGTCTCGTTGGTCTCCTTTATTTGTAGTTCAGGTGGGTAAATCAGTGGAGGGAACTGGCTATTTGGTTGTTATTGACCGATATCAGATCATCGATATACCTGAAGCTTAAGTTGAACTTTTTGGCCATATTACCTTGTTTTGACTCTGCCAAACAAATTGGTATATAAGCTATAGTGTTTTGTTGACAGTTGATAAATAAGTTTTGAAATGTATTGTTTGTGATGAAAATACATACATTTTAGCTCTCACGTGCTTATGAAATTAAGGCATTTACCCTTGCCAATTCACTGGTTATATGTAATGAAATACGATCGATATCTATGAATAAAGAACAGGCGAATACATATACATATATATATATATAATCTGACAGGCGTAAATGCATGCTCAGGAATCATGCATATTGTTTCAATAAAGTTCGGGGATAACACAATCCAAGGATTAAGATGCAACGTTCATTTTAAAACAGGATAATCATAATCAGGTTGAGATTTTTAACATATCAAGGGGCGCCAAATGCACAATGAAGCGACAACACCCTTTCCATAATCATAAGAAATCTAAAATGAGAGTCAATTGTACAATTCCGATTACATGTATATCATCGATAATCCAACACTTTGCAAGGATTTAAAACGACGCCTCCAGCTGTTATATAATATGACAAATATCGCAGATGTTTTAAAGGTAAGTCAGTGAGTGAGTTGGGTTTAGCGCCGCTTTTAACAGTATTCCAGTAATATCACGGCGTGTCAGCCTAATGTAGGAGGAAAGCCCGAAGTGATGCAGGTCTTGGACGTTTACCAGTTATGTGAAACCCACGAGCACGGGTATGGTGCTGACAAACCTAGACACATAATCGGGGCGAACCGGGATTCGAACCCACAATCATAGGTTTCTGGTGTGCCCAAGGGACGCAACTCTGCATAGCGAATCGCGGCGCCTTGGACGACTGGGCCACCCGTGCCCCCACGTTGTATAGGACCTAATCAGGATATTAAAATATCGCACGCCCGCATTTATAGGTGTCTTTGATTTGTTCAAAGATTTAAAGTTTTTTTTCGAAAACTAAAGATGTAAGAAGTCATGTTCATACCTAGAGTAGAGAAGATGTCAGCTGTTGAAAAAGCCCTTACATAGTTATAGGTAAACGATGGACTGTTTACATGGGAATACATAAGGACCAACCTTCAATAACACGTAGTTACATTACAATGATGTTTAATTTGCAGTTTACACGATATACGGCTTTGCCATTGGACGAGAGGTCGGTCACATGACCGCGAAAGTGACGTTCATAAGTGTGTGAACGACACAATTTGACGTTCATACGTTTTTCACGAGACCGTGTTCTTGAAATGACGTAAACACTGACGGACTACTTCCACATCCTGGTGGAATCCCTTGGAATTCCCAAGCACGAATACACACAACAGCGTTGTTTCTGATCATTTAGACCCTTTAAGCTTGAACTCAGCGTTTTAGTATACATTGAGAAACGTCAGAGACTTTGACAGCATGATCTTTTACGAATATCCTCGCTACGACCCATCCTAGTGAACAAAACGAAGAAATGCACATCCAAACAATGATAGTATCGACTCGATCCATGTCTAGGCTAACAGTGACAGTCTAAAGCAATCTATGAGTTTTTCCTTAGTGTCTATTTGACAAATCTTTAATCACCTTTCAATGATCGGCCAATAGATCAATGATGACCAAAACATTCACAGGTTCATTCACAACTTTCGAAATCTCTCCCGTCACGTTTATCGTGTCGGCCATTTTGACGTCTTGTACTTGGTGTAAATATACAGAACCGCAAAGAAACATCACCCCAAGTTACATTGCATTAAAAGTTGTCATGTAAATATCTGGGTAAAATTTTGTCAAAGTTTCTAAACATTTAACATCACCTTATCCGGAAAAATGAAATTTGATGATAAAAAAACATGGATCTCGGCAACGTCCATGGTAACCCGATGCACGTGAGTTCCGTGCAAATTGAAATGCACATGCGTTCCCCCATTTCTTGCCCATAAAAATCCACCCAGATCGGATAACATTCATTCGTTATTGAATTGCTGCCACCTGCCAAGATTGACAAGAAATCAGCTACACCAAGCCCGTTGACGATTGCAAGCTGGACAAATCACCCGGCAAGTAGCCAATGCATTTCAAGTCCACGTAAGGACCATATGCAGGCTCCACCAACACTACAGATGACCGAACACGTAGTGGAAGACCAAGGGTCACCAGCCGACGTCAGGATTGTCAGATTGTGCGACAGCATCTTCAAGATCGCTTTGTTACTGCTGCGGAAACTGCTCAACAGACCATGGGGACACACAAGCGACACATCAGTGCGGACACCGTGCGTCGACGATTGACGAGCAGACACCTCCTCTGTCACAGGCCACACCGAAGACCCATTCTGACACCACGTCATCGCCGGGACCGTCTTCAGTGGGCAACACAGCACCAGCAGTGGCACCACCAGCAGTGGAGAAGAGTCCTCTTCTCAGACGAGAGCCGTTACTGTATCTCAACAGCAGATGGAAGAGAGAAAGAGAGACTGGCGACGCCGTGTGGAACGTTATTTTAATGCTTGTGTTGTTGAGTGAGACCATCATGGTGCGGGGTGGAATTGGTCTTGCACAGAGGGCGGCCCTGTGGTCTTTCAGAGAGGCAATGGTGTCACAGCAGATCGGTACATTGATCAAGTCTTGAGACCACACGCCATACCTCATTTGTCACGTCATTAGCACAATGGCATCAGAACCACATGCAGTGGCCTGCCTATAGTCCCTATTTAAATCCCATTAAGCACCTGTGGGACGAGATTCAAAGACGGCTGAATGACGTCTGACCAAGGCCAACAACTGCAGCTGAACTGCGTCAGGCGTTCCTCAGAGAATGGGCTAAAGTGCCTATGGCCTTCATCAACCGCCTCATCCATTCCCTGTATCGACGTTGCACGGCAGTCATCAATGCACAAGGCGGACACACGAGATACTGACTTGTGATGCCATTTTCTCAGAGAATAGTGTTGTGTTTCACTTTAAGACCATTTGACAAAGCAATATGTGTATGAATTCCCCTCCAATATAAATTCCTCGAAAATCGCTAGTATCCTTTACTTCTAGTTTGGGTTGGTAAATCAGTGAAAGAGAATTTGGTATTTGACCATTATTGGACAAATCAGAGCATCAATATACCTGAGTGAGTGAACATGGCTTTACGCCGCTTTTAGCAATATTCCAGGAATATCGCGGCGGGGGACACCAGAAATGGGCTTCACACATTGTACCCATGTCGGGAATTGAACCCGGGTTTTCGGCGTGACGAGCGAACGCTTTAACCACCAGGCTACCCGACCGCCCCTTCTACGGGTATATACCTGAGCATAAGTTACACATTTTGATTCATATGCATAAAGGAACAGATCAGGAAGAAGGGGAGCGCAATTAATGCCCAAGGGGATGCCTACTTCTTGCCTTCTTGCAAATCTCCAAATTTCCCATAGATGTTATCAAAGAGGAAATACAAGTACATAGAATTCAATCATTGTCTTTGTACTTTTTCAGTTATTTGCTTTCATTTTGACTTCTTGCCTAAATGTCTTACCCCCAAATTTTACATATACACTCTCTCAAAAAAGAAACGCAACCCCTATATTTTCAAGATGTTTATCTCAATATTCAAATTATTATAACACATTTATTATTGAAGACAACAATATGAAATTTGGCATGGTAGCAGTACAGTTATGCAAGTTTAAGTCCAGACTTCGACAGTTCTCTCACTAAGATTGACTTGACTGCAAAGGGGGCGTCTTTCTCAGTACCTCGTATGAGCGCCACGAGCTGCGATCACAGCATTACACCTCCTAGGAACAGAACGGATTAGACGCCGGATTCTTTCCTGAGGGATTGCTCTCCACTCCTCCTGCAGTGCAACGGCTAGTGCATCCAACGTCTGCGGCGGCGGTGTACGTGCACGTACTCGTCAGTCCAGATAATCCCAAAGATGTTCGATTGGGTTGATGTCTAGTGATCGGGAGGGCCATGGTAACACGTTGACGTTAGAATTCTGGAGAAAATTCACCGTTGCATGTGAAGTGTGCGGCTGGGCGTTGTCGTGTTGATAGAGCTCCCTCTGTTGGTCGATAATCGGCAGAAGATGAGGCTGTAAGACGTCATTGATATAGCGCTGGGCTGTCAAATTGCCACGAATGATCACCAAGTCTGATCTTTCGTTGTAAGACATGGCTCCCCACACCATGACGCTCCCTCCTCCAAATCTGTCGACCTGCCGAACACAGTTCGGGGCAAAACGTTCCTTTCCTCTTCTATAGACACGCTGTCTTACGTCACGGCGTTGTAAGAGAAAACGTGATTCGTCACTAAACAAGACGCGCCTCCAGTTTCTGAGGGTCCATATCTGAACGTTGGTGCACCACCTGAGTCGTCGGCGTCGATGTTCGTGGCGTAAAACAGGTCCAATAAGTTGTCTTCTTGCACGTAGACCGGCCTCTCGTAGACGGTTCCTAATTGTTTGTGCGGACACTCTTCTCAAACCTGGCACCTGTGTTGCAGTGACGGTAGGTGTGGCTAGCCCATTACGTAGGTGGGTGACCCGGATGAATCGATCCTGAGGTGGTGTGGTAACCCTTGGCCTACCACTTCTGGGGCGATCTTCAGTTGCATGAAACTGGATGTATCGGCTCCAAAGTCGGGAAATCGTTGTTTTATGAACATTGACGTGTCGGGGGACGTTTCCAAAGCTTTGTCCGGCCTCAATACGACCAATGGCGATATTTCGATATGCAGCACTCAATCGTGGCATATTCGACCTTGTCGTTCGGTGAAAATGATAGAGTGAATCGCTTATCAACACGTGCTTTTATTAACCCATACTTCTACTGCTCTTTCCATGAATTGCACGTGCATGAGGCTTTTGGCATGGGCCACGTGAAAATTTTGCTCACTATGATAAAAGTAACAATAAAATGCCCTTGTGCATGAAAATTGGTGTGTTTGGGCGCTTACGTTAATAAACAGTGTACATGGTATAAATGCATATCAGAAAAATTGTATTTACAATCAATATTTTTCTTCTTGGGGTTTTCTCACATTTTCAGACTGGGGTTGCGTTTCTTTTTTGAGGAAGTGTATGGTAACCATGAGGAGAACCAATATTTCACATACAGAGAATCTCACCCGAGTGTCTTTTAATATAAAATATATCAACACGAGTCGATAAAAGTGGGAAAACTCCGAGGCTTGCCAAGAATTATTTCCACTTTTATCAACGAAAAGCCATTGAAATACAAACATTCAGGAAAATTCTCTGAGTTTTTGAGAATCCGCATGACATTCATTTCACTTGTCTTAAATAATTTCTTTGAATATAAAGAAAGTCCTTTCGTGATTGTATTAAGGATTATTAATCTTTGTGACAGGGAATTACAGGTACATTTGCTGGACCCAGCAATATCTCTCTATGTTTGGATTTGTATAGAGCTTTGGAATCCCATACAAATGAGAAATGGATATGTCTTTAGGTTTAAGGTTAAAGTCAAATGCCGATAGAACTGATGCGTGGTTTAATGTGTTTGTAAATGTTAAATACAGTAAAGGCGGAATAATGCATAGGTACGATATTGCGGTTAAAGAGTACGTACCTGCTGTAATCAAGCCTAATGTCCTCTCTCTGTCTTTGTTATGTCATGTGACTGTGTTTTCCCTTTTAATAATCAATGTCAATTGTTTCTTATCTCCAAGGTCATGTCATGATAGCCAGCAGTTCTCGGAAATCGTGACTTCTCAGATAAACTCTCGCTCGAAGGAGGAAGTGTGACCTAAATATATACATTGAGTGTAATGTGTTCGTGTAATGAATTATCAATGTATTGAAAGAGTCCATTGATAAATAGAGGTTATCACGCCTCATGTGTTTGGGGATGGTAAATATCCTGTATTAGGAATAAACATCGTTCTTAGCGAGCCTTGGCGAGAAAACATATTGTTTATTCCTAACACAGGATATTTACCATCCCCAAACACACATGCGTGATAACCTCTTCCTCATATAATGTCATTCTTCAATTCTGTGCTTGAAAATCGCTTTCCTTCTCTCACAATCATTACCGAAGCATTGAAAGTTTTCCTGGAATGTGCGCATTAGTATACATTACGTCACAGGGTACATGTAAGTGATGTGTTAGTCGGTCAGTGACAGTAGTCTATATAGTTCCAACTGAAACATGTTTCTTATACAGTGGCGAAACAACATGCACGCAAAACAGCAATTGCCTATACAAATTGATTTACTTGCCTTTCGCGGCAATCCATCGGTCCGACCGCTAGAGTAACTGCCCTTTGTCACTTTGTAAACAGTGAAAGTAGTCCCTACTTGACCTTTAATATTTGCATCTCTATCCGCATATGACCCCAACGGATATCGTTTTTATCCGGTGGCTTTACCCTGCGGAGTCAACATTGTAGTTGGCAGATGTTCGTGTGACAAAATAGTCAAGATTAAACTTTACGCATATGTGGGATTGCCTTATTTTCATGCTTCAGAAAGGTCGAACCCAAATACCGTACTTTTGTGCCAGAGAACAATATTTTCCACATTCTCCAATACAGGCATAACATTATTTGAAGCGCTTGTAGAGTATTAGGTGAATGACAGTAACAGGTTATTGAGGTTACCGGTAGAATTGGGTTCAGTGACTATGTAACGTTGTCGATATAATTAGGTTGATGGCTTATGTTGGGTTGCGGAATATAGCGACTAAATTCCATCATTTACCTGTTTTCAGAGGCCTTTGGAAGGATCTGCAGTTGAAATGAAATAGACTAGTTGAGGACATAGTTGAGCTTTTGTTAATTATTTGACTGATAATGCTGACGTTTTCAACATTCTTCGGAATGATTCTCAGCTCTCAGCACATTCGAGTTCCTGTGGAATATCATTCCACATTGCAGGGGCAGAGATTGAGAATGACCTGTTACCTGATCGTGATTTTTATTTTGGTATTACTAGCCGGTGTTTTTCTTTAAACTGCCGACTCCTAGGTGGTATGTTAGGATGAATCAAGTCCCCCAGGTAGACTGGATCACTCTCTCAAACAACCCTGTACGTAACGACTAGAGTTTAAAACTTTATTTGTTCGAATTGACAGACAGTGCAGTTGAGGATATGATTTCATAATTTGGTCCTTGTGATGATTCGTGGTGCTCTGGTTTGTACACTCTGGGGATGGCTAATTGAACAGGAAGCATTCTGCAATGAATTACAGTAATTGCTTATATTATTATTGTGATCGCTGTGGTCAGTATCATATACAAATAGAGTGGTGATAGCAAAAGTCAGTGGGATAGTGGTCAAGCTTCCGAGATGGGCCAAGGCGGGGAATCAGGGATGATGAGTGACCTTCACAAGAAAGCTGGACTTGATGTAATGTCAGATGTAATATACGGTATATTATGTGTGGACCTACAAGCACTACTGTCGAGTTGGATACAATTTCACACAAGATTATTGCCAGTAACGCTAATATGAATACATACGTACAATGAATACAGTGGTTACATAGATGCATTGCTATCAATACAGGTGAGGTGGTGAGGTGAAATTGGGTTTAACGTCGCGTCCAAGATTATTGCACTTATATAGCGACGTGCGTGTGTGCGTGCAGTTTAACACGAATACCCCACTCAGACACAGTATACTGACTCCGCGCCGACCAGTCCTTGTTTTAGCCCCTTAATACCGAGAGCCAGACAGGATGACAACAAGTACCATCTTTTACCGTCTTTTGGTATGACGCAGCCGGGGATCGAACACCGGACCTTCCGCTCGCCGGGCGGACGCTCTACCTCTAATACAGACAATGGTGATACGGTAAGACGGTTATACAGTCAATGAAGATACAACGTTACAAATCGGAATCTGTAGTTGATTCAATCATGCTGTTGTAAAGGATACTCAAAAACATAACAGTTTAGACGGAGTAAATTAACAACACATTGCTTTGGTCAACAGCAGATTGTGTCATTCCAGTGTCTGCATTGATGTTTAAATACAGAACGACTCTTATACGTTAATGATGATTAAATGATGTATGTATGTAAACAGGGCGTGGAGTCATCCCACAGATGACATCCTTACCTTGTCAGATTGCTGACAGGGTTAACCTCTTTGATCATGTGGACAAGGCGTCCGATCATTAACATAGCCTCTGGATGCTCTCTCTCTTTTCTCCCTGTCCTTGGTTTCCTGTGGCAGCACCTTGAATTCGAGGAGTCACGTCTCCACCCACGCCAGCACGGAGAAGATGATGATCAAACACTAACTAAGGGGGTTCTTACTACTGTGGGTGGCCGAAAATCATGCTGACAAGGTAAGGATGTCATCTGTGGGATGACTACACGCGCCTCTACATATGAATGAAAAAAGTGTTGTGTATTTAAACCAGGTGGGGGATGGAGAGAAGAAGGTACAAGCTGACAAACAATAACAATAGGAATCATTTGTTTATAAGGGGGAATCTTGCAGTCAAACCAACTGACCCTGGCATTTGATACGCTGTATTTGTGCCACGGCCCAATTAGTACTTATTTAGTTGTTTGAATATTTACATATATTGTATATTAACTGCATTTATTAAAGATCTGATGTCGAAAAAACAGGTTTTTCTTTTCCGTAAGTACTTTGATCGTTAATTTACCATTGATCGCTTTCATCGCTTTCAGAAGACATGATTAACATTCTCCTTTATTTCTAGTATTTAAATATAAGAGAGAGTAAATAATTGGAAGGATGGATTAAACCCAATCATTATAAAGCTTTTGGTTTGGTTTGGTTTGTTGTTTTACGCCGCACTCAGCAATATTCCAGCTATATGACGGCGGTCTGTAAATAATCGAGTCTGGACCAGACAAGCCAGTGATTGACAACATGAGCATCGATCCACGCAATTGGGACCGATGACATGCATCAATCAAGTCACCGAGCCTGACCACCCGATCCCGTTAGTCGCCTTTTACGACAAGCATAGTCGCCTTTTACGGCAAGCATGGATTGCTGAAGACCTATTCTACCCTGGATCTTCACGGGCCCATTATAAAGCAGATGGAATTATAAGCATTATTCATTAATGACTCCATGTAGGCATGATGTAATACAAACTTAATCGTCGTAGAAGATTCATTTTCAGTTGTTTGTTTGTTGTTTAAAGCTGCACTCAGCAATATTCCACCTACATGACGTCGGTGTGTAAGTACTCGAGTCTGGACCATACAATCCAGTGATTGACATCATGAGCATCGATCTACGCAATTGGGAAACGATGACTTGCATCATCCAAGTCAGCGAGTCCGACCGCCCAATTGTTCAAAATAGCCTCTCAGGACAATTATTGGTTGCTTAATATTAACCCGAATCTTAGTATTTAACAGAAAGCGAAATAGCTGAATAGAAGATTAGTCCATTTATTAAAAAGAAAGTATTGTTCTCGTAAGTTATTATACAACGGACAAATTATTACAACATTACATTAATTTCCAATTCCATTGTTACAATATACTGCAGCATTGTCTTCAGAAGCCAAGTAAACCCTACCGAATCCTTCTGACCATTCTGGGCCGTTTCGACGGCGCCAGGTTGATGACGTCATTGACTTCAGAAGCCCAGTAATTCTGCCGAATCCTTCTGTCCATTCTGGGCCGTTTCGACGGCGCCAGTTTGATCACGTCATTGACTTCAGAAGCCCTGAAAACCCTAGCGAATCCTTCTGTCCTTTCTGGGCCGTTTCGCTGGCGCCAAGTTGATGACGTCATTGACTTCAGAAGCCCAGTAATTCTGCCGAATCCTTCTGTCCATTCTGGGCCGTTTCGACGGCGCCAGTTTGATCACGTCATTGACTTCAGAAGCCCTGAAAACCCTAGCGAATCCTTCTGTCCTTTCTGGGCCGTTTCGCTGGCGCCAAGTTGATGACGTCATTGACTTCAGAAGCCTAGTAACCCTACCGAATCCTCCTGTCCATTCTGGGCCGTTTCGACGGCGTCAGGTTGATGACGTCATGGCAAAGCACTGGCAGGTCTATGGCTATCAGGATACAAACAGCAGAGATGATAATCACAACACCGAAGGTCCCCAGAGCTCGTGCTGACACGCGCGGATCAGGGGCACTGGTGTGCTTTCTCTTGTAGGTCGACAGATTCTTCTGGTTGAGAAGCAGATTAAGTCGGATGTGATCAATCATGTCCTTTAGTTGATCTTGAGTGAGATTTGTTATGAGTGATTTCATACTGACAAAGCCCTCGCTGTGAAAATATGAATGGTGAACACTGTGGGTTTCTTCAACTATTGCTGTGTCGAAACTAGCTATTTCTGAAGTTGTTGTTTTGTCAGACGCAGGTGGGGTAATTAAAAGCCAGAGGTCTTGACTTGAAGACAACAAAGAAGTAGGGGTCGTATACGTCCTACTTTCAGATGAAAAAGATGGTTGTATGGTCGAAAGCCCGTGGTCCATGGTTGGGGTTGCTGGAAACATACTGGAAGTAAGTTCCTGTAAGTAATAGGAAGTGCACAGCCTGCTTGTTACTTCATCGACCTGAGGCGCCAGATATGTCCAGTCCTGAAACACAAGATATAATACCAGTAAACCGCTTCCCAAAGTACACCTTTAACACAAGTACAAACACACACGCATTCACGCGCAATCAAAGACTCTCA